GCACGACCCCACCCACACCTGCGACCAGCCGTGTGTCCAGGGCTGCGTCTGCCCAGACAACATGGTCCTCATGGGTGACGAGTGTGTCAAGCCAGACATGTGCACAGACTGTAAGTAATCACACAAGCTTTTCAACTCTCAAACATGACTTTTTCAAGAAAAAACTCTCTTTTGTCAGTAACTTACCAACCTGATGACTAAAACTATGACCAAAGCTGAAACTATTCACAGAAGAAGTACCGTAGTCATGCCTTCAAGTACCAGTGTTATCAACCAAGGATTGAGGTGTTCAAAAACTCATTTTTTCCTACAATCGTTGTTACAGTAGCAAAAAGAATTCAGGAAATATCTTATGATGTACTACTAATACTTTTTGAATGAGGCTGTTTTAATGCACAGTTATACAGAAAGTAGTACAACATGTATATGAGGTTTGTGTTGTAACTTTGACTCTGATTCTCTCTCCCAGGCTTCTGCTATGGCTATGGTGATCCTCACTACGTGAGCTTCGACGGCACCTACTATCCATTCCAGGGTAACTGCACATACGTTCTGTCCAGGGACATGACCACAAGAGCACATGACTACGAGGTACGCCTCTGCTCCTCTTCTTCTAGGCTATGGTCTTCAGCATGAAAGCTCATCATTCCATAGTGACGTTTAATACTTGAGGTCAACACAGCAAAGATAGCTCACCTCAAATTTCTTCAGTGATGATCAATTACATGTACTCTGAGCACGTGACCTGAGCACACGTGACTCGAGTAATAATGAACCGTAATTGCCTGGCAGGCTATATCGGCCCCCGTCTCAGTTGAGTGTACATGCTCTCAAAGTAGTCCAGTTCAGTGTCCAGTATTTGTACTCGTATTTGATCTCAGATTTTTGTCTCAACAGTGATGCTTTAATGTCTTCATTACCTTTGAAATTGTAACCTACCAGTTCAGTAATACTAGTATAGCGTTCAGATATCACTTTAGTCATTTTTATTATTAAAGTTGCATGAAGAATCTTTATCAGTTTATGCCGAGCGTCAGTGACAAACGTGTGTTGCCCCCCTCCCACCCCTGCCCAGGTTCTGGTCCACAATGTTGAGTGCCACTACCAGCAGCGCGGAACCTGCACCAAGGCTGTGACTGTCCGCCATGGCTGGCCACGAGATCACTCTGATGAACGGCCGTGTTGTAAGTACAACGTCTCTTTCAAACAAGTCTTGTTTGTTTGTCTGTTTACAGACCCTGTTGAGGCACAACACACCTGTTTTGGAAGCTAAATAAGACCTTCACAAGACCAGTCTGATAGGTTGTGTCATTCTTATGTGTACCTACATGTACATGTATGTATTGGCAGTATTCAAGTCATGCAACATCTTGCAGTTTACGGTGAGATTACAGTTGATAATGTCAAATTGTAAGTTTCTCACTTGATTACACAATGTATAACTTCACAGCTGTAGGTTCTGTAATTTCGTATGCCTATGTCAAACACAAGACATCTGATGCCAGGTCGTAAACATGTCGTGGGTTGTGTTGTTCAGGCTAAGGTTGATGGGGCCTACTCCTCTGTGGGCTACAACGCCCCAGTGACGACTCAGGGCATGGAGGTGCGTCTGGCCGGTCTGCAGCTGGAGCTGAAGATCCCAGCACTCAACATCATCGTCACCTTCAACGAGATCAACCACGGCTTCAGCGTCCAGGTGCCAGTCTCCCGCTACTACGGCCGCACCGAGGGTCTCTGTGGTATGTACACTTCTGTTCTTTATCTTCATATGGCTGGTACATGCTTTATATATGGCCTCCTTCAGTCAGTATGAACCATGGTAAAATCCCAATTGTTAACAGCCCTACAGCTTTGGCTATGGCTGGACAGTCTTATACAAGAATAAAAGTGTCTGCCACATAGGACACATTTATGAGCTGACTTGGGTCTGTTGCAGACTGCTTTTCTCTGTGTCTGCTTGTCTTCTGTGCTGTGCAGTAAAGCAAAGAGCTCGAAAAGCTATTGGTTTCTTAAGTCTGGCCTTGCATAAAGTTACAGAGCTATTGAGTAATTTCATAATTGAGAACAAACAACTGAAACAAAGTAGTCGACGGTGTGTAAAACATTTCTCTGTACATTTCAGGTCCATGTGACTACAACCAGAACAACGACTTGACCATGCCTGACGGCACCATCTCCAGCATCCCTGATGAGTTTGCCTTCAGCTGGCTTGAGCAGTTCCCAGGTATGGAAACACTTCTGCAATCATTAGTCTATGTGTGACAATTACCTTGCCTACAGGTTTCACTAGTTTGATGAGGCATGTTTTCATTTGTGTTGGGTCAGGCCTGCGCACGTAGGATTATTCCTAGAGAGGTTTTAAGGTCTGAAACTTTTCGATGTAATGTTCAATGAAGAAGATAATGATGAAGTTGAGAAAGGTAAAATGTCTATATTTCCAGTGGTAACAATCTTCATGCCAAATGTCTTCCTGTACCACAGGTGGTATCCCAGAGGAACCAGGTACTCTGCCATACGAGCCGTTCAGCGGCCCAGACGAGCCAGTGACCGGTACCCCTGAGGAGTACTGCCAGATCCTGCCTGCCACCTTCCCACCCAACGGTGTCTGCGACGTGCCAACCGACCGCTGCGAGGTAAACCCATATCCCACTTTGTGTGGAAAGTGCTTCACAGACTATGTTCAAACTCCATACATAATTTTATTTTGTTGGTGGGTAATTCAATTGTAAATTTCTTCCCAACCGTTTGTTTAACACAGGCCGACATTATGATGACTGTAATGTTAGGCTGGGTACATGCGGATTTTGCTCCACTACACTAAAAAAATTGCATACCGGTAGCAGAGCAAAATTCAGATGGAACCCAGGCTACCATTATGTCAGTTGTTTACTTATGGTTGATTACTTCTTGGATACTTTGTTGACTTGTTGATATGATTACTGACCGTCTGTATGTCTGGTGGTGTAGGTTATCCGTGGACCACTGTTCGAGGACTGCAACCTGCTGATCAACCCAGACACCTTCGTCGAGGCTTGTATCTTTGACGTCTGCAACTCTGACCTGGACACTCCCGAGGACCAGGCCTGCGATGCCATCGCTGCCTACGCCCAGATGTGTCTGATGCAGGGCATCTGTGTGGACTGGAGGGACGACGGCCTCTGCCGTAAGTCAACATTTCACATTTGTGCCATAACTTCTAGCCAGAATCCATTTGTCAAAGTTTGTAAGCCTCTGGTGCAAGTTACCCTGTAGCAGTCTGGGGAAAGATTGCCATTTTTAACAAATTTTCTGCTCAAAAAAATATATGAAAAGTCTCCATCATGGTCTTAGGTGTAATACATTTAAGGGGACAATTTAAAAGTATTTCATTTAAAAAAATCAGTGAAACTAATGTGTCTTAAAAGTACATGCTACTTACCATATTAGAATTTTTCTGTGTTATCAATCAAATGCATCGATACAATGTACATAGCCAATAATAAGACTGTATTTTCCCCCTCAGCCATCCACTGCCCAGCACCGATGGAGTTCACAGAGTGCGGCACCGGCTGCCCGGCCACTTGTGACGACCCGACCGCCCAGAACTGTGACACCACCCTGCCTGGCTGCTACTGTCCTGACGGCATGGTCCTGCACGACGGACAGTGTATGGCTCCCGAGGAGTGCCGTAAGTAACCCAGACCTTACACTGTCACTAAAGTTCATCTGTGTTGGCATCATTTGTAGCATTAGGAAAATGACAGCGATGAGAAGGAATTCGACCGGTCTTTCTCAGCTGTGTTGGCAGTTACATGTTTAAAGTTAAAACTGTTGTTCCAAGATGAAGAATTGTTGAGCTTTCGACCAGTCTTCTTCAATTGACCCAGTGAGACTTGTCACATGGCTTCACATATCACTGCACAGTTACCATATTATTCAATTCATCTTAACATGCCATTGAAGTAATCAGATGAGGTGTGGCCAAAAAAGTAGGCTGACAAATTTGAACATTTTGTAATTGAAGTTCAACTAACAGGCATGTTTTTCTCTTCACAGCTGTGTGCTTCGAGAAGGACGGCACTGGATACATGGTGAGGACCTGTTCTTTTAGTCTCATTTATCTCACTATTAACAAACAATACATCCCTGAATTGTGTGAAGACTTGTAAACCTTGAAGATAAATGTGTAAGGTATCATTTTGCTAAGCATAGACTTAACGGTGATAGTGTTAATAAAAATCTTGGCTTGGAGACTTGCAGTCTTTTTCTTAGGAATGTGTTATCTTGTCCCCCAGCTTGGTGAGACCTGGAACCCAGCAGGTGACCTCTGCACAGTCTGCACCTGCGCAGCTGCCGACACCATCACCTGCGCTGCCAAGACCTGCCCGACCTTCAGCACACCTGTCTGCGCTGACGGCTGGAAGCTGGACACTCAGCTGACCGCTGACAACTGCTGTAGCCAGGAGATCTGCACACGTAAGTCGCAAACACAGACTCTCCAATATTGCAATAGCTTAACTAAGAATAGCTTAATTTTTTTCAATAATGCCAAGTTTCATGATCAGTGCCAAAGTTGAAACTAACATTTTTATTCTGTATGATCACCTGACAGTGTGTCTGGAGTCTGACTGTCCGTTCCAGCCTACTCCACCAACCTGTGCTGACGGAGAGACTCTCATGGAACTGCACTCTAGCGACTGCTGCAAGAACTACACTTGTGGTAAGTTATAATACCATAATATAATCTGTGGCTTCAATATACAGTCAAACTTTTCTAAGACAGTCACCAAGGGGACAGAGGAAAAGTGGTCTTCTTAGATAACCTAGTACATGGCATGGAGACAAGACCGCAGCAAATTTTCTCACTAATTACATGTACTATATAAAAACATTTGCGGCCCACGCTTGAAAATGATTCACATAAGCAGAAGATAAGACCAACAGTGCTGTAACTGCTTCCATCACTCTTCAGTTATCATCTTCAGCCTTAGAAAAGAGAAATCTTGTTGACAAGTTCACATAGTCAATGTTTATACCTTTGTTTGTTCCCTGTTTAGTCTGCGAGGCATCCAAGTGCCCAACAGCCGTCATCCCAAGCTGCGACGCCTCTCAGGGCATGACTCTGGCCGTGGACAACTCACAGTGCTGTGCTCAGTACTCATGTGGTAAGTACATCTACATGCTGCCTTCCTCTACACCTTGGGCATCTTTCTACATGTAATGGCATCCAATACAATTTCAGGGCGGCAAAATGGATTTTCAAAGTCAGTTTTCTGGTCATTCTTTTAATGTGATATCTATGAGGCAAAATGCTGTTAAATGACAGTAGATGTCATACATTGTATGTTGTACAATTATGTTGTTGTGCAGTAAAGGTCATCATTTTGTGTATTATATATTGGAGGCAGCATTCTGACCACAACTTTGACCATTTCTCCCCACAGAGTGCACAACAGCACCACCACCACCAACCTGCCAGCCGGTAAGAACAGCAACCAGATTTTTCTTCCAAATCACTAACAGTAACTCAGTAAAAAACTGTCAGATATCTTTTCACAGTTATAGAACTTGAATTTTTTTAAATACTAGGAGTTATTTCATCATGTTATTAAATTGTTCAGTACGATGATATAGAAACGTTTTCTCCATCTCTCCAGTTCTATGAGGTCCAGGCTACAGGAGTCACATCCTGCGGATTCGCCATCTATGAATGCAGTAAGTTAGAATCACTTTGTCTATACTTAGACAATTGAACATTCCTTATAGATGTTAATTAGAAAGTGATGTTTGCAATGCCATTATTCAAAACAATTTACTTGATAGATAGATAGAAACTAGAATTATATGCAAGTTTTTGTAATACAATTTCAGGCATAAATGTAGTGTTTTCACGTTTTACTAACTTGATGTTGTAATTCATTTCTCTAGGACCACCAAGTGAGGGCTGTGTGCACCAGAACCAGCTGTACACGGTAAGCTGACTTCTCTCTAAACAACTTAGATATGCGTTCAGAGAAGTTTGTATTAGGTATTTCTCATATATGCATGTTATACAGAAAAAAAAAGCAAAATGTATGTTGAGATGCTAAGGTGAAAGTGTTGGTAGTAGCTTGTTCACGTCACCTGGAACTTAGCCATTAAAGTACTACTAAAAATGTATCTTGTTTAACAGTTGCTACATGTACTTGGTTCCTCTAGTGTTGCTAATCTGTACCTATCCCTCCTTGTGCCCAGCTTGGTGAGATGTGGGCTCCAGATGTCTGCACAGTCTGCCGCTGCAGTGAGCAGGCCAACGCTAACGGAGAACACGAGGTCTTCTGTGAGACTCAGAGATGCCCGACCGCCGACGACTGTCCTGCTGTAAGTAAATCTCTAAAATCACCACTCCTGATACGCTACAGAAGCCTCTCATCCTATTTTCATTTCCTGCATGACAGAACTCAAGTCAAAGTTCTTACCAGACAAAAATCTGGGGTTTTCACGCTAATATTTTGCTAGGACAGACTGTATGTTTGAATAGACCTGGAATGTCCAAGTACTGGTAAAGACTTAAAGGACAAATAATGAAAGATAGAGACAATTAGAGAAGTAAATTGGACTTTGTGGGCAAATTATTATGATAAAGAATTATGATAAAGAATGATTTCTAATATACATGTAATAATAAGAAACTGTATACCTGTGAAGAGCTCCTAATACATCTATAATTGATAACTTCAGGATTCAAAGAAGTGAAATTTGGTATCTTTTCTGTATTTCTTATATGCATATGTTGTACAGAAAAAACAGCAAAATGCATGTCTAAAATGAGTTTGTGATGTTTCAGGGCTTTGAGCTGGTGATGATTGGTGGCGAGTGCTGCGGTGAGTGCAGACAGACCCACTGCTCTGTCCAGATGCCAGGAGAGGACCAGCCTCAGCTCTACGCTGTAAGTACTGTCAATACGCTCTCCATTGTAACATTACACAAAGCAAAGGGTACTGCAAATGCCGTTCTATAGCAATTGGAAGGCGTTCAGCACCAAGGACAGGGAATGTATGAAGAAAGGATACCTGTAGTGAGAATAGAGCTTTCAAAAACTATAATAATTATGATCGATTGTAAAGTTGCACAAAGAAAGGGCGCCACAAATGCTTTTCCATAGCCATTGGAAGGTGTTCAGCACCAAGGACAGGGGATGTATTCAATCATTAACATGTGTCAATTCATCTTTTACACACCATTGTAACAATCAAGACTGCAACTACTTCTGGTCAAGATCACAGGTTTAATTGACAATGTATAATTTAGTTGATATAATGTATGGTAAAGATTTAAGGCATCACAAATTCCTGGACCATCCTACCATCAACATTTTTGTAAGAATATGGCACATTTAGCTGAACAAAAACGTGACCAAGCATCTGTTTTCCCCAGGTTGGAGAGACCTGGACCGTTGAGGGATCTTGCCCACAGGAGGAGTGTGTGTGCATGGAACAATATGGCCGCCCATACACGACATGCAGCACCACAACATGCCCAGACATCACAGGCTGCCCACAGGTGAGACATGGCAACATTTCTCACAACTCTTATGGTCCTGTGGCAGGTAGCGTGCGTAGTTCAGTGGTCAGCGAGGAGGTTGGGAGGTCGAGACCAAGAGTTTGGGAGTTCGAATCCCGGCTGTTGGCACTCACCCGACATGCACACTACCGTAAAGAGTCACAGTACTTGTCAAAAAGAGCCCTAGTACATTTCCCTAGTACAATGAACTTGTAAATACTGTACAATACATCAGTTTCTCTGTCACGACCAGTTGGAGATTTAGTTCTTCCTAACCCCCCATGGCTACGGTCATGAGGCTGTTACTACTGACTTTTTGTGTTCTGTACTGATGTGTTTTTGTCTGTCTCTTGTTGCAGGAGTTCATTGCTATGGATGAGAATGGATGTTGCCAGATCTGCCAGGGTAAGTATTCTTAACTTTGATATTGTTGTGTACCGTGCTTACTGTAGCATTTTTATTATCTTAGACCACAGCAATTTATTGCCTTGGTTTTGAGATATAAAAATTCAACTAACTATTCTATTCCCTAGAACTATGTGTACATTCTTCTAAACCTGTTTTATGTTGATCTTTGACTTCAGTCTTATCTTTATCTTTTTTTTATTCAGAAGTAACAAATCATTTTGTTTTGGCCATACTTAGGTCACAAAAACAATAATGAAGTAAAATGAATAGAAAGTTAATGAAATTATCCCTCTTGTGTTTACAACAGAGACCAGCCACGGCTGCAGTGCTGTCCTGAAGGAAGGTCATCCAACAAAACTCAAGGTCGGCATCTGTGAATCCATCGTGGAGGTCAATGTCACCGAGTGTGAAGGTCGCTGCGGCTCCTCAACATCTGTGGTGTTCCCAGACGACTACTCACAGGTAACTTCTAAGGTCTTATTCAATGGTTTGATGTGCCCTTACGTCAGAATCAGTAGGATTCAATTCAATTCAATTATGAATTTGTCTGGATTTATTGTTGTAAGGATTTCTGAACTCACTATGATAGGCCATGCAAAGAAGTTTCTAAGCTTGATTTATACCAAGATATTGTCAATAGTATATAAAACTAAAGAAAAAGGTAGCATCTCATTCTGTCTTTCTTTTAGTCATCATTTCCTTTAAGTGTTTGGTTTATGAGAAAATAGCATAGTGTAGTGGTTAGCGCATTGCATTCGTAAGCTGGCTGTTTGGGATTCGGCACGAGTTTGATTCCCGGGAGCAAGGGTAGACTATACTACTCGCCTCTTGTTTCAATAGGACCAAAGAATAATTAGAACGATGACAACAGGTCAACAAGCATTAATGTTCTACATGTGTTTCTCCTCCTGCAGCCTCATACATACCAGGAGAACTGCAACTGCTGCAAGCCGACCAAGACCGAGCGCCGCCAGGTGGACATGGTCTGCGAGGACTTCACGCAGGTCGTACACGAGTACGACGTGATCCTGGAGTGCTCGTGCGAGGCCTCACAGTGCGTCCAGTGGTCTCAGCCATAATCACAACATGGCCGCTACACTCCTTAACCACGCAGCACGACAATCTCTATCATAGTTAACCTTAGTAATTCCTCACCATAGTTTCCCCTTCATTGTCCTTTTCAAGAATTCCATATATTTGCATTTTAAAAGCTAAGAATCCTTCATCGTGTTTTAAGCCCTACAAATGTTCATCACAACGACTTGCCTTTTGAGAGGCGGAAAAAAAATAAGTTTTTTGTTGTAGATATTCAAACAGTGGTAGATTTTATGTTGAACTATTTTGTGTTGGAAGTTGGCAAAAACCTGTAATGTAGAGCATAAGAACAAACTGTGTTCCCCAAAAAAAAGAATTGGTGAGGAAATAGAATGAATATGAATTTATGCAAACCAGTGTCTGTCATTTCTGTGTTGTCAACTTTGTGTTTAAATGGATGGATGGATGGATGGATGGATGGATGGATGGATGGATGGATGGTTAGATGTACAAATAAGTAAGACAAAAAAGACAAAAGGAAAGGTGCCAATATTAGTAAAGGATGTTTTACATTTGAAACATAACTATAAGATCACACTGAAGCACTATGCATACGAAGTTACATTACACATTGCAGAAAATTTATGTCTAATGTTTTAACTAGTGTTTCAAAGGCTGAAAGGGCGGTGTAAGAGTTTATTTTGTCGAAATGGTGCGTTTTTGATAGATTATTGGTTCGTGAACAATTAACAAAGGCAGAAATATTGACAAAAAAGTCTCAGCATTCAGCCGCTCGTACAAGCCGTTCTAGGAATAGTTGTCTCAATATGAACAGATGCAAGCTAAAATGGTTCTTTCTAGATACGTCTGTGATATCTAGGCAGTCGGAGTGTGCCTCAATGTCAAGAACAAGAGCAGGAAAGACCTGTACTAAAACCCCCATAAGATCCCATCGCGTTTCCCAACTCGCGAAATGGCCAAATCTGGGAATGAGCGAGGCTTCGTTAGCGAGATACGGGCCTTTTCGGAACGGGAGCTCGAAAACGGGGGTGTGATAGGGGATGAATATCCGCTTTTTGAATTTTAGAAAAATGAAACTTTTGACATTTTTCGGTGTCCTTGCTTTCAGAGTATATTCTCTATAGTCTCTATTATAGTCCTGCTTAATGTCTTCGCAAGAAATTTCTTCATTCTCTAGTTATACGTAAAAAAGCGATTTTGCGATCAGCTGATCGCTTGCAGAAGTGGTCACAACCTTTGCAGAAGTGGACTTTTCGCTGTCGATCTCATTACCATATGAATGAAAACCAAGCAGATGGGGGAGGGAAAATCGTGCTTGGGGATTGCTATAATCAAAACCTTTGAGAAGTGGCTAAGGCCGAAGAGTGCACTTTTGAAGGTTAAGCTCAGAAGATTTCTCCTGACTGATACTATTAGCATTATGTATCTTGGAGATAGACGTTTTATACTTTTGTCGGTCAGAAAAGATAAAAGGAAAGTATAAAGCAACAGTACACCCCCAGAAACTGGTTTGCTCTTCATTCACAGGTGTGTTACCTCTGAAGAGGCAGACGTTTAAGAACATCTACTGTCTTTCATCAGCTTAGAAATCTTTGTTTAGCGAGGTGAGATCCGAAGGGAAGTTTTGTAATATTCATTGACGCACAAACTAACAATCGTGGCATTAAACAGCTAAAAATTGATAATAGATGCGCGTATGAACAGACCACAACTTGAAGACTGCACATCATATAAGAGACACCATTTATTTATAAGTGGTACTGCAGGAAAGCTGTTCTATAGTACACATTATTCGAAGTGACGCGGAGCTGTTTTGCTTTACAGAAGTTTCAGGAGGCTATCAGTGGACGTAATTTTGTGCACATACAATTTTCATTTGTATCACCGGTGTGAACGTGTGTGTATGCAGCAGCAAACATAGCAATTAAAGGTAAAGTAGGACAAAATCGTTAATGATAAAAAATATGACACAACATGCATGTAAAATACACTATATTTTGTACGACAATATCTAACTCGTTTTGCTATATTTCGATGGACCCATTCTTTCGTTCAAGGATTTCTGAGGGTCCACCTATTTACCGGAATACACATGGATACATCGAACACACACAAAGGAGGGTAAAATCTACCGGAATACACTATGCTTATGCGATGTTATGCGATACATTTCTCTTCCTTTAGAATGCTATGGGTTTGCGGTCATAGAAGAACTGTCCCTGTGCCTCTTTGGGTTTCAGATTGGTCAGGAAAATTGCTGTGTCTGCACCTGTAGAAAAGAAGGAAGAAAAATCGTAGAAAGAATGAATATTTTCAAAACTGCGCTGAGAAAGCGCAACGTTACACAACGCAAAGGGCGTACAAATATCGTTATATAGCCATTGGAAAGTATTCAGCACCAAGGACAGGGAATGTATGGAGAAAAAATGTAGTGAGAATGAAGCTTTGGTTGTGATGATCAATTGTAAAGATACACAAAGCAAAGGACGCTACAAATGCCGTTCTATAGCAATTAGAAGGTGTTCAGCACCAAGGACAGGGAATGTATGATAATACTAGATAACTACCAATGCTACTTTTACAAATCACTGCAAGGATCAAGGCTGCAACTGCTTCGAAACCTGGTAACATATTCAGGTTGGTAATCTAGATCACATGTTTAACTGTATAATTGATTTGGTTATATGGTAAAGACTTTAAAACGTCACAAGTTAACTCCTGAACCATCCATACCTTGTGCAGCACTCCTGGGTGCTCTGTCGCCCGCCATGTCGGTCTTGCACCAACCAGGACACATCTGAAACGACAAAAACCCCATTCCAAGCCAAACCTAAACTTTTTTGAAGGAAGTACCAATGAGACTCACATGTACCGAGTACCAAGACATCACTCTCACTCACTCAGTCCTCTTGCACGATGAGCGTCGAGCCTATAGCAAGGGTCGATTTTGAGAGTCAGTCCGATTTCTACTAGTAGGCGTCACAACAAGTTAAATTTCGCCATGCTGGGTTGTTGGCCCTGCGATGGCTAGTCAGCTGGTGGGGCTGCCACCTCATAGCACGCTGACGTGCTAGCGGAGCTGCTAATTAGTACCTCCCAGGTGTCGTAAGCCCCCCGAAGGTTACAGGTCTCCCATGCACCAGACCCAGGCAGGACACCTAGTCGGAACAAGCTGCTACACCTCGGCAAGCCAAGACATGAACACCGGAAAAAATAGAAATAGGATATTTGTTTATCATCGGGCCGAAATAAAAGGTAGGTCTGTCTGGTGAACAATCGTTGCCATTTGAAATCGGCATATTAGTCACACATCTCGTCATAAATACGGCACAATGTTGTTCTTACACAGTTGACCAGGACGTCCTCTCTCGGGTCCTGTTCCATCTCCCGTGCCTGGATAAACGTCAGGACAGTCACTCCGATCTTGGACATGCCGTAGGCTGAGTCGGCGAAACCATTTTGCTTGTGCTGCCCTGCCTTCGCCTTCCTGTGGAAGAAAATATTTAAAAAAAAACCTCGAGGATAAGTAGAGTAATTTTGTTCCACAAAAGAAGATTTGAATTCCCAGAAAATACGGTACCCATTCCTGTCGCTGGGTCGCATCGGCAGAAAGATTCACATAGTTACAATCTCATACCTAAAAATTAAGGCCAGTTTACTCGGCGCAAAAATCATTTGTCGAACGACGCACGGCGCCGCTCGGTGCGTGTCGTAGGACAGATTTTTTGAGCGTGTAAACGCCGCGGGTCGATTTTCGTGTGTCGATTTTCGTGTGGCACATCCAGGATGCGCCAAATGAAAATCGCCGCGCGGCGGTGGCGGGCCTGTTTACACGCTCAAAAAAATCTGTCCACAACACGCGCCGTGCGGCGTGTAATAATAACGTAGTTTTCCGATCGGAAGGGTTGTTTGTGAATACATTTTCCTCTTGATGCTTTCGACATATCATTCAATGTTTCCAGCTATCCTGCAAGCGTTGACACATACTCTATGAACTTCTTCAACAGCGTCACAAGTTCTTCCTCCTTGATGCTCCTGTCCCTGAACCGAGCCTGCAACTCGGCACTGCATTTCTTTATAGACATCTGGCTGACTTGACTGGATACATTCACTACCCTAGAGAATAGCATAAATAGTAAAAATTTGTAAGTTCAGGTTATGAAATGAGCATCAATTACGTATATAACGTCCTCGGATTACGTGTTGTTTTGTGCCATAAAAATGGAATTTGTATTTACAACTCATCTGAAACTTGTATTCCAATTTGCATCAGACTTGATATAGCTCCGCCCACCTTCCATGAGGCCTGATGATTGGCAGCAGAGCTTTGCTAGTGGCCATGGTTCCAAAGAAGTTGATCCCCACAGAGTCTGTTGCTTGGGTCCCAAATGGGGTCGGATCTGCATTCTGCAAATAAAACGAAATTGTGACATTGGCTCAGAAGTTGCGCCTTTAAGCGGAATCGGCTGGAATTGCACCAGCAAGGACACCTGTCCTCTCAGCAAGCCCCAGCTTCATGTAATGGAGTATATATTTGTTTATAAAAACTAGACAAACGAAACGAACCTTGTAGGCAAACCCTGCGTTGTTGACCAGCACATCCAGGCCCCCATGCTTGTCCTGCAGATGCTGCTTCAGTGCCTGAATACTCTGCTCATTTGTGATGTCCAACTGGTGGAAGCTGGGGTTCAGGCCCTCAGACTTCAGCTTTTGAACAGCCTCCTGTCCGAGCTTCTCATTTCTAGCTGTGTTGGGGAAAACACAACATTTACCACCGGTCAACGTGTTAACCTTATATGTAACAAACGTATATAATAGTTGAGAGAGAAGATGATAAAGTTCATAGACATGATGACACTTATAAGACCCTTTGCTTCAGTTAATTCAATGATATAAAGGTAATTATTACCTGTTAAGTAGACAGTCCCGTCGAATTGTTTACACAATCCTCGAGCTATTTCCAGCCCGATCCCCTTGTTTGATCCGGTCACCTGGCGAAGGGACAAAAAAAAACTGTACTTTTAAATCATACGTTTCGCATGTTAAATTAGAGACCAGTCAAAGACGGGCTTGCCCCAATAAGAGCCACGCACCCCACACAAGAGAAGCCACCAGACTTGTGGAAAATAGTAGGGGTCCTTCCCAGTGTGAGTGATTTAAACCTAACAGTCTTATGGTCACACCTGGGGTCGTATTGAGGTCACCTGAGTTAGAGCCGAAAGGCAGCCAGTCCGTACCCCTGTGATTCGGCCCCAATGATTGTAAGCTCCTCATAATTCAGCCCTTAATTGGCTACACAAGAAGAGAATAAGGGGCCCACGCAATGACCGATATCTCGGCAAGCATCATTCAAGAATCCCGTGGCTGTCAGAAAATTGTGCGTTGTCGCCGAATACCCAGGGGCTAGTATTTTAGCTACTGAGCAAAAATCACATCGGCAAAGGAATAGAACGTCAAAAATCACACTCACCACGGCTACACGACTCATCGCTGGTTCTTGGTTCACAGGCAGTTGGCAGAGGTACTAATAGCGTAGACTGTTAACGGTTGTGTAAGCTTGCTGTAGCACACACGGCTTTAGACTGGGTTAGGTAACCATTGTGCGCATGACAACGGCACACAGGTAAGGGCGCGTGTGTATGGAATTTTTTTGCAAGTCATGGCGGTGGTGCGATTTTTTCATCTCAGTGTCAGGTGACATTTCTTTGTCATTCATTCCTTTGCTGTTGGGCGTTGGCGGCGCTGCGTTTTGTTTTGATTCCGGGGTCACACGTAGGTCAGGTGTGGGGTGACGTTTCTATCATGGCTCCTTCGTTCTTTTTATGTTGTATAGTTAGGCAGTTAGTTAGTTGTGTAGTTAGTTAGTCAGTTAGTTAGTTGTGTAGTTAGTTAGTTAGTTAGTTAGTTTTATTAGGTTCTCCATTGTACTGGGCATGGAACCAAGGAATGGATTTTGTCAAACGAACATGCAGAAAAAGAAAACGAAAATCCATGCACTTGTTCATGTAGCCCTGATAACGTTTTTAAACTATCACTTAAAAGTTTCTAATTTGCACTCATAATAACAAGGAGGTTAACTCCATGATGATAATAAAATCGTACGCGTACAACTTATCCGATATTCAACACATTTAAATGAAACCAGCTACACTTTCCATGCAGAAGGTAGACACAAATAAACAAAACCCCGAGATTCTATGGTACCCGGTGTATTTTTTTCAGTTCATTTTTAGATTACTCAGAAAGGTATAGGTTTGCGGTCGTGGTACATCAGTCCCTGTGCCTCTGCAGTGTTGGGTGGTAAGAGGGCCAGGAACACGGGTGTGTCTGCACCTGGTGTAACAATTGTAAGAAATGAATGAAATGCTCGACTGTTGTAAAGCGTACAGTGACAAGTCCAGTGCAGCCATACTGTGGTAAATAAAGCCTACATCAAAGTTCAAACATTTATTTCAATATGAAACTTGTTTATTCTAAATAATTCAACAGGAGTTACTGCTATGATTTGTTCGATGTACTATTCAACTTTGTAAATAGAATACTTTATTTTATAGGACAACCACAACAAAAGTACATGAGACTAGGGAAAAGCTTACTATCAGACCCACATATCGATACTACCGATTCCAGAATGAGTCCTACCTTCAGCAGCAGTCCTTGGTGGATTCTCCCAGCCTGCCATGTCAGTCTTGCACCAACCTGGACAGCACTGACACAAACAACAATGAAATTTGCTTATTTCAATTTTATAGTAAATTTTCGTGAGAATATTTTTGGAAGAGACAACCTGTAGAGGTGATTTGTATCGTCTGTTTTATGTCCCCCTCCATTGTGTTCCATAGTTTACTATATAAAATGTTCCCCGTTTCCAAACAATTCTTTGACGGTTGCGTGTTTCAAGGCATTCGATGCAATTTCAGGGCGGCAATACAAGTTACCGGTGAGGAGTCGAACCAGCCTACGATACAAAACAAGCGACCGTTTCCGTCAATGACATCGCATTTTTGTCTTCCAGATATCAGTATGGTATGGGGTAGTATTGACTCGACTTGATAGAATGGCCAGAAAATTGACTTGGAAAATCCCGTTTTTCCTGAAATTGCATTGAATGCCTTTAAGAGACACACTGACTCTCGTACGTACACAGTTGACCAGGATGTCCTCTCTCGGATCCTCTTCCATCTCCCGTGCTTGGATGTACGTCAGTGACGTCACTCCGATTTTGGACATGGCGTAGGCTGAGTTCGGGTAGCCATGCTCCTTGTGCTTCCCCACCCTGGCCATGCTATAGAAACAGAAACATGACTTGTATGCTTTACATAATAATTGTATGAGGTTCTATAATACGTTCCCATAACCCAAACGACAACCGAAGTACAATATTGTACGACATGACACAAAAACAAAGAAGCATTATCCTCTGTGCCATTCAGACTAGTTCCTTACGCGGCACAAACGAGGGCCGCCTGTAAGTCTGATTAGATAGATAGAGAACTGTCAACACAGTTTTTTTTGCATCTAACAATGAAGATATAATAACTATAATCACTATACACAACCCTGTAATTCATTTCGAACTTCCCTTCGCTTTGTCAGACACTATTTTAGATGAGAGACGTCTGGAGCACACTCACTCGATGTATTTGTTCATCAACATCACAAGTTCTTCTTCTTTCATGCTCCTGTCCCTAAACCTCGCCTGTAACTCGGCACTGCAGTTCCGTATGGCCTTGTTACTGGACTGACTGGACATGTTCACAACCCTGGGAAAAGACGTAACTCTTTGAATTGAACAATGCACCAATTCTGCTGTCATATTAAGCAGTGGCGTTTCAATTTCGTAACTTGTCTCGCGCAAAAAAAGGGGATTGGAAATTCGTCAAAATTTTTCATCAGTGTCCTCTTTCGCATCGCATGAGATTCGATAGCCCGCCTACCTTCCATGAGGCCTGATGATTGGCAGCAGAGCTTTACTAACTGCCAGGGTTCCGGAGAAGTTGACGCCGACTGACTTCTCCGCCTGGATGGCGTAGGGAACTTCATCTCTTATTTCAGGCTAGAGGTAAAAAAAACTATTAAAACATCTATGAAAAGTCGTTTCGGTGCAAATTATGTGTGTCATGTCTTTGGATGGATTGTTAGATGAGAGAAAAATTACTAGCATGCGAATGCTTGACAGAAAAGAAAACTTGACTGAATTACATCTCATTGAAAGAACTTTAAAATAGGTAAGACAACGCCTTTCTTTTCTCAGTTTATGAATACGATAGGTCTAAAATGGATCCGGATGTCAAATATGATAATGAAAATGGAAGGTATGTTGGCATGAGAGGAAGGTACTCCCTTCCTCTCCAAGCATATGTTTAGTCTTCGTTTTTTTTTTTTTTTTTTTTGAGTGATGGAAGCTACAAACCTTAAGACCAAACCCTGCATTATTAACCAGCACATCCAGGCCACCATGCTTGTCCAGTAGATGCTTCTTCACTGCCTGGATACTCTGGTCATTTGTGATGTCCAACTGGTGGAAGCTGGGGTTCAGGCCCTCAGACTTCAGCTTTTGGACAGCCTCCTGTCCGAGATGTTCATCGATATCTGAGTGCGGAGATATCAATTTCTACATGATGTCATTTGGTTAGGCCATGTTGATTTGATTACATGGATGACGTCCTATGGGAATGCCAAAACTGATTCGAGAGTGCGAATTTTTGAGAGTTTCGAGAGTTTTGCAAAAAATTTGCCTTCATTATGAAATGTACGTGGTCATGAAGGTTGAACAAATGACTAAACCCCCAGACGGTATGCCAAATAATAATAAACTGTTCGTTTTCATTTCTACACATTTTCTTCTTTTCTTTGGAATTTATTCCTGCACTCGACGACATAACATCTCTATCATACCTTCATGGACATAACAAGTATCGTTTTCCAATAACTGTTTTGCAATTCACGGCATACATTTGCTCATTTTGCATCTGCTCTGTTCGATTTACAGCATGGTCGAAACATTTTTTGGGAATGGACAAAAATGCCAGCGCGAGCGACATGGCCTAAAGAGTGCTTTTAAAAGAACACAAACGTCAGTCTCGTGCATATAAAAGAAACCACCGTTTAGTTTACGTTGGATAAAGACGGTCAGGTATATACTTGCCTGTTAGGTAGACGATCCCGTCGAATTCCTTGCATAACCTTCGGACAATCTCAAACCCGATGCCCTTGTTGGACCCGGTCACCTGGCGATGTGGGAATACTAACCGTCAGGTGTTTTCTTTACTACGACATGCACCAGTGAACTCATGCCCGAAACATGGCAGTCGTTCCACCTACAACAGTCGGCATTTGTCCTTGCCGGCTACTAGTATCAAGTCCCTCGTCAATCTGCACTCTGCTCAGGTTACTTTAAGATATGGGTGTTGTATTGGGGCCGCGAGAGGCCAGAGGCCCAGAACAAATGACGGTAGCGCGACTTGTTTGGGACACAAAATGCACGACAAATTTGACAGAAAATAGGCTAGAAATGTCCTCATCGTTTCGTTCACTCCTGGAATGACCCTAGTGTGGCAAAACTGTACATTCTTCGATGGCCTGTCAATAAACTCCATTGGCTAATTTTCACCTCATTTCTGCCAGTTTCTACTGGTCTCAGTTCTCTTTCTTCACTTATAAACCAAGGGCATTATGATGTCCTTGCTTAAACGCTATTGAGATCACACTCACCAAGGCTACACGACTCGTCGTTTGTCCACCGTTCATTCTAGGTGCTGCATGGGACGTCCACTCGGATCGGTGAATGTTCTAGTGCTCTATGTTCACTTCCGGCAATACACAAGATACCCTCTGTCCTATATAATGGCCCTTTGCCAGTGACCCGTCCGACCAGTCTTTGTTATAGAACAAGAGCTGACAACAACTATGGCGTAATTCTTTTCGAGCTTCTCATGGTAATTGCTGCGAATTGATTTTCATAATCAAATGTGATTAAATGAGGACCTTAATTAAGCGAGGAGTTTTGAATAGTACTCCTTGAATTAAGTAATAAGATCACGGCAGAAAAGTTGTAACATCAAGAAATGGACAAAAACTGATCCAAGGCTTTCATACGAGCAAACAACGTTTATTCAATGTTCAATGCATTTTGACCCATATACCAGTAATGATCATAAAGGGGCTGTTGAAAATTAGCACACTGTTTTAAAACTACAGTGGTTTCAGTTTGGAGGTCACTCATGTACAAAAATGTATTTCCCTTTCCTTTAGAAAGGTATGGGTTTGTGGTCATAGAAGAAGAGTCCCTTTTAAAGGAAAGCACCAGACTATTTTATTTCCATTATTTTCCAATAGTCTATATATTAAAAAGTTGATTTATTTTGATTTTTACATTAGCAGTGTTTTCAGCTTCAAGCTCATTTTATACCACTGAAGTCCACAAACCGGAGCAAATGGTTACTGTCCATTAGAATGGTATAGGTTTGCGGTCATAGAAGAAGAGTCCCTGTGACTCCTTAGTGTTGGGTGGCAGAAGGGCCAGGAACACTGCAGTGTCTGCACCTGGGAGGGTGGTTGTTACAAAGAGGCAGTTAGACAATTAACATTTTAAATTCACACTGTAAATTCAAAGCTATGAAATGTTAAGATTCATGGTACAGTAGTATGTCATGTAAAACAATCCTAAAAGATTACATCTATTGCAGAAAAATGCTAATAGCATTTTGTATATACAATTTATAGTTCTTACCCTCAGCAGCAGTCCTAGGTGGCCTCTCGTAACCTGCCATGTCAGTCTTGCACCAACCTGGACACATCTACAAACAAACACACAGATGAGAATAACGTGAATTGAAATGAAGCAAACACAGCAAAAAGTATCAAAATAGAGCTTCCATCAAGATTGCAGAATGGGCCAGTTGAAAGCATTGTTCATTACATGATGAGGGAGCTCAAATATGTTATGAGAAAAAAGCCAAAAACCAGCTGACAGAGGCACGATGTTGTTCTTACACAGTTGACCAGGATGTCCTCTCTAGGGTCCTGTTCCATCTCCCGTGCCTGGATAAACGTCAGGACAGTCTTGCCAATTTTTGACATGCTGTAAGCTGAGTTGGCGAAACCATTTTCCTTGTGCTGCCCTGCCTTGGCTGTCCTGCAGAGATATATTTCACAAGGATAAATTGACAAGAGTTTGAACGTTCCACAAAGTTCTACTACTAGTATGCAGTTCACTGCAACTGTAGCAGATATACAGTAGTTAAGCAAAGGTAAATGACATATGCAGTTTTCTTCTAAATATACTCACTCTATGAACTTATTCAATAACATCACAAGTTCTTCCTCCTTGATGCTCCTGTCCCTGAACCGGGCCTGTAGTTCATCACTGCATCTTGTCATATGCTTGGACATATTACTGCTTTGGCTGGATACATTTACTACCCTGGAGAGAAAAAAACAAAGCAGAGTGTGACACAATCACCGTGATATCACTTGAACAAGTGAATCCCATTGTTGTTCAACATTAGATCCAATCTGCACTTTTGTCATGTGGACTTTGACATGCAGCATCCTCCAAAGTATGGCATGATTGCTGGATGCTCCGCCCACCTTCCATGGGGCCTGATGATTGGCAGCAGAGCTTTGCTGACAGCAAGGGTTCCAAAGAAGTTGATGCCCACAGTGTCCTCTGCCTGGGTTCCAAACGGAGCAGTAGCGGCCACCTGTGAAAGAAAGTAACTTAAAAGAAGCATAAGAAATTCACAAACCATTGAGGTAAAAGATTTGATGGAATATGCCTGCTATTTTGAATATTTCCTAACAACAAAAGATAACTCAAATACTTCAAAACTTGTTGAAGGCCTTTATCATGCATAAAAAAACTAGTACCTTGTAAGCAAACCCTGCGTTGTTGACCAGCACATCCAGGCCCCCATGCTTGTCCCGCAGATGCTGCTTCAGTGCCTGAATACTCTGGTCATTTGTGATGTCCAACTGGTGGAAGCTGGGGTTCAGGCCCTCAGACTTCAGCTTTTGGACAGCCTCCTGTCCGAGCTTCTCATTTCTAGCTGTGTGTAAAATATGTCTGTCAGTTGTGATGATAAGGGTCTATATGGGACTTTAGATTATAAGAATGTCATTCCACCTGAAATAAGCCTCAAGAAAAACAATGGTTATAATTACCTGTTAGATAGACAATCCCATCAAACTGTTTACACAGTCCTCGGACTATCTCATATCCAATCCCTTTGTTAGATCCCGTCACCTGCCACAGTGATGAAAGAACAGAAAAGGGTTTTATGGTACTTCATTTTTCCCATAATTTTGCCTCTTAGATACATGTATGCTAGTTTATCAACTGGTCCTCCAAGTTTTTTTTCATTATAACCTTAAGCATATTATGTAATTTTGCCCCAAGTATCTATTAATGCATTAAGAGTATCTGTGCATTACAGTGGAAGCATTTGGCGTATTATAACAAATTCCATTAATTTTCTACAAAAATCAGATAGCAAGTATTTTACGTTAAATGGCCTCAACTGGTACAAAAATACTTAGTAGGTATTGAGCTGTTTGTGCCTTTGTGGTTGTCAAAAGTTTCAACTTCAAAGTTTCAGTAGATGAGATTATTTAGCTTTCAGGTCTAGAGCACTGTGGATCACTTTCACTGAAACTTGCTGTGCCACTGTGGATCACTTTCACTGAAACTTGCTGTGCCATAATACACGGCCCCGCCCCCTCGATACGAATCTCATTATCCCCAACTCACTTAGCTAACTAACCTCTACCAGGCTTCGAGAGGCGGCTGAAAAGAGTAGAAATCGGCCAAATATATATATATATAGAGAGAGAGAGATAGCGGTGCGGCAAACTGTTCTCTCCAGCAGACCAGCTCCAGTGGCCTATGGCATGCTATCTGTATAGCTGTATGAGTCTCTATTTGGCTGATTTCTACTCTTTCCAGTCGCCTCCCGGAGGCTACCAACTCACCACTGCTATGCGGCTCATCATCTGCGTCTGACCTCTTTGAAAAAACAAAGTGCGGTCCTCTGGTTTTGCGGCTTATGTGAAAACGTGGAAATATTTGCAGATCTTTGCAGCACCGTGCAAGTATCACCATTCCGGTGTTTGGAATGTACCACTATGGACCAGAGGGAAATGTACTTTTTTTTCTTTTTCATTGTCTGATTCAGAGTTTGCTAACCTAATTTATCTACACCATACCAGAATGCTCAAGCAATATTCACAAGTATGTCTAAACGGTGTTCACAGTTAATACAATTAAGATATAGAGCTACACCCTCTGTTTGAATGTAGTCACCCAACTTTACGTGTGATTCATGACGTGAATCAACCACAATCTCCAAGCAGATGTTGGGAGGAACACTGTAAAGTTTCAGTCTCAACCGTGTGTTAGAAAAACGATTTCATGCTTTGTTGCTTTTCCCCTTGTGTCAAGAACGAGAATAAAATATAATCACATTGTGGTCTGTTTGATCTGTTTTACTGTAACATGTGCAGTGTCTTCAATTTCACAATTAAGGTGCTCATCTCAGAAGTTGAGTTTTCAGAGGATTTCATTCATCAAATGATGTTTCTGTGTCCTACTTTTAAGACAATGAAGTAAAATGCAATTCTTCCATGGAGGTTCCTGTCATTGAAGAACATAGGTTCTGGCAATTTCTGTTACCTGGCTTTGCAAAACTATCCTACATAGAGCTTGTCAGAGTAGAGGTGGTCAAGGAAAGTAATAATATTCAACTCAATATATAATACCTGAAAGTGTCCAGTCAACAATTAACACAAATACTGAAGCAAGGCTTTCATAAGGACAAACAATGTTTATTCCATAAGATAGTATTCAATACATTTGACCCAGATACCAGTAGATAAGTGATCGTGCAGTGACTGTTGAAAAGTAGCACACTGTTTTTAACAATCTGCACGAGGCGTCTCATTATTTTGGGGGTTCCACCAATAAATAGCTAGAAACAGCCTACAATACGAATTAAGCAGCCATCTTCTGTCAGCAAAATCGCATTTTGGTGGAATTATTTTTCGCCTCACAGATATCAGTGTGTAATGGGATAGGATTGATTCAAGTTACTACTGTAAAATGTTTTAAAAATGACTAGAAAAAACAGCCTTTGGTGCCCTGAAATTGCAGTGCATGCCTTCAAAACTACAAGCAGTGTTTTCAGCTTTAAGCTCATTTCACAGGTCAAGTCCTCAGACATCTCTGTCTGCAAACTGGAGCAAATGGTTACTGTCCATTAGAATGGTATAGGTTTGCGGTCATAGAAGAAGAGTCCCTGTGACTCCTTAGTGTTTGGAGGGAGAAGGGACAGGAACAACCCTGTAACTGCACCTGGAGAGGGAGGCAGTTACATAGAATTAGACCCTGTTCATACCAGACTTATATTTAGCGGTTTCAACCGGTTTTTCAAAAACCGGTTTTTATTTAACCTGGTGTGAACGCAAATTAACCGGTTTTTTAAGGGGTTTAAATCCGATTTTGAAAAACCACCTCGGGAGGTGGTTTTTGAGGGGTTTTGTGGGGTTTTTCCACCGAAAAACCTGGTCTGAACGCTAAGGGTTTATTGAACCGGTTTTTGCGTCATAATTCCAGGGTCACGGGGTCAGCATCCTGACCATGTGCGACCTGCAAGCTTTTTGATCGCGTTGTTTTGACCAACTTGAGTTCGTTTCCACTGTTTTTCGGTGGAATCAGCGATGGAATCAGCATATGCAACCTGGTCTGCGGACGAGACGCTCCTGATACTTAGGTTTGGAGAGCAGGAGTCGCCGAATCGAAAAGCTGGGGGGGGGGGCGAGGGCTCTACCGAAACAAAAATGTTGGAGGAGGCTGATTTCTTGAAGATAAAGGATCAGTGCCGCAGTAAGGTAAAAAAACTGAAGACGGCATACAAGTAAGAAAGCCAAGGACAACAATCGGAAGAGCGGGAGGAACGGTTATTCAAACTGCAGTCATGGCCGATTAATTGGATATTCATCGGACAGGATTTTTTCAAAACCGGTTATCAAAAGTCTGGTATGAACGCTAAGGGTTTTAGCCGGGTTTTTGAAAAACCGGTTGAAACCGCTAAATGTAAGTCTGGTATGAACAGGGTCTTAGTTAGACTTGAAATCTAAATTCAAAGCTATGAATATCTTTATAAATTCACAGTGCGTGTCTGGTAAAAAAAAAAACCTAAAAGATTACCTCTTTTGCAGAAAAACTAATAGCTTAATATGCTGAGAGGATTTGTATATTTGTTGAGAGGATTATGCGTATTTGTTAAAACATGTAACGTTACAACCATCCTTACCTTCAGCAGCAGTCCTAGTTGGCCTCTCCCAGCCTGCCATGTCACTCTTGCACCAGCCTGGACACATCTACAAACAAACACACGCACGAACAAGTTGAATTTTGTATTAACAACCATGTGCAGAGATATAGCTTCCATCACAACAAACTACAGCAAATATGGAATAATTTGTAACCTATTACTGTAACCCATTATCTTAATTACATTAGCCTCTGATTTGTAATGGCAATCCCGAAAACATTTTTGGGGGGTTGCCATAATATTACAATTACAAATCGGATGGCACCCAGGCTACTATTACATGATTAGGGAAACATATAAAGAGAATAATATGTACAACAATAGCTCTTCTCTGACAGAGGCACAATGTAATCTTACACAGTTGACCAGGATGTCCTCTCTAGGGTCCTGTTCCATCTCCCGTGCCTGGATAAACGTCAGCACGGTCACTCCGATCTTGGACATGCCGTACGCTGAGTCAGAGAAACCGTTTTCCTTGTGCTGCCCTGCCTTGGCCGTCCTACAAAGACACATTTAAGAGGGATAGGTTGTTGCTGATGGTGACATTGCATGGGGTATTATGGTAATGGTCAGTGCGTTTGGCTCAGAAATAAGAGGTCCCGGGTTGGAACTCCTGACATGCCAGATGTTGTACCATTGGGAAAGGCACTTAACATGACTTTGCTCACTTAACTCAGGTGTAAAATGGTAGCTTTGTTTGGGGACGTCCCTTGGATAAGATGTTAAATGGAGGTCCCGTGTTTGAAGAGAGCCATTATGACCCAAAGAAGTTACCCACCACACCTTTTGAAAAAGAGAAGAGGCATGCCCCAGTGTGGGATGGTCCAAATCATACTGTCTGGAAGTTGATGGTTCACTTCAAATCACCCAGGCAGGGGCCTGGTGAACACCCGTCTCATATTAGTCATGAAAACATGTCAGTTATTGCCAATTTCTTAGCAGATAGACATTACCGGAAGATAGAAAGATAAAGAGAAATTGCTAACAGTTTGAGTCTCCTGTTTGCTGTAACCTTATCATACAGTCTAAGTAAAAGATAAAGGACTCGTGCAGTTTTCTCCTACATATACTCACTCAATGAACTTATTCAATAATGCCACAAGTTCTTCCTCCTTGATGCTCCTGTCCCTGAACCGAGCCTGCAGTTCAGCACTGCATTTCCTCAAAGACATATTACTGCCTTGGCTGGATACATTCACAACCCTGGAGAATGGAAATAAAAGTCATGAATACAGTGCCACAGTAAATACTGTCTCACTATTTGAACAGGTGAGCTAAATTTTGTATCAGTAAATACCAATGATTCCACCAACGACATTATACATCATACATTATAACGTACTTGATTACACGTCATTTGCCATTTCCATAAACCACGGACATTATACAGTATGTGTAATGTCCTTACATAAAATTTTGCATCTTTTAATAGTTTCGTAGGTTTTATATGCTGTTTGTAAGCTAAATGTTGGGTGTTGTTTTTGTATATCTTGACTAAAATCTTTAAAAAAATGTATTGTCAACATTACATCTAATCTGTACTTTTTTCATTGATGTTGCATGGAGTTTGACGTGCAGCTCATTAGCATATTCAAAAACATTGCATGATTGTTGATGGCTCCACCCACCTTCCATGAGGCCTGATGATTGGCAGCAGAGCTTTGCTGATGGCCATGGTTCCGAAGAAGTTGACCCCCACAGTGTCCTCTGCTTGGGTCCCAAAGGGGGCCGTATCTGCCATCTGCAATTGAAAAAAAAGTGACATTGGTTCAGTGATTGTGACTTCACCTAGAATCAGTGAGTATTTCACCAGTAAGAACACCACCAAAGATGGCCTTGGTTTTCAACAGAGTATTAACATTAGTGGCCATGTGTACAGTCAAACTTGTCCAAGCGACCACCTCTATAAGCTGGCCATCTGGCCATAATGGCTGCTTTTTTTTCAGTCCCAATTTTTTTCTACAGACATTTAATATTTTGAACGGACTTGCCTAAGCCGACCACTTGCCGTCCAATGCGACCACCAGCACTACTAGTATTTGGGACCACATGGCCCAATCTCTACATATGATGACTGTGTCACTTTCAAGTGTGTGGAATCTATATGGAAACGGCCAGTTTGCCAATGATTTCACCAGTGGGAACGTCTTTGTAAAATTGTACCAGCTGGGTTACTTTGGTGAGTGGGAGAGTCTATGGTAACTTATTTTATGGGTGGAAATTTGAAATTTGCTGTGGTTTTCTTGTTCACTGTCTTGTCATGTCGCCATGCTTCTTGTATAAGAAGACCACTTGTCTAAGGAGACCATTTTTCCTTGGTCCCTGGATGGTCGTCTTAGACAAGTTTGACTTTAATTTAAAACACAAACTGATGAGGTAAAAGATTTGATGGGAAAAACACTTTTGCTTATTTCCTAATATACAACAACAAAATATTTTTCTGAACACTTCAAAGTTTATTCAAAGCCTTCAAATTTATCATACTCACGAAACTAGTACCTTGTAAGCAAACCCTGCGTTGTTAACCAGCACATCCAGGCCCCCATGCTTGTCCTGCAGATGCTGCTTCAGTGCCTGAATACTCTGGTCATTTGTGATGTCCAACTGGTGGAAGCTGGGGTTCAGGCCCTCGGACTTCAGCTTTTGGACAGCCTCCTGTCCAAGCTTCTCATTTCTAGCTGCATGTAAAATGTTATTTCTGTCAGCAATAATAATGTAATGATATGGGTCTAGAAGACACTCACTTGATCACTCACTCACTCACTCTCACTCACTCACTCACTCACGCAATCACTCACTCACTCACTCACTCACTCACTCACTCACTCACTCACTCACTCATTCATTCACTCTCACTCACTCAATCGATCACGCAATTCATTCAGTCCCAACAGACTCTAGATCATAAGAATGCCATTCCATCTGAAATAAGCCTCTAAAAAAACAATGGTTATAATTACCTGTTAGATAGACAATCCCATCAAACTGTTTACACAGTCCTCGGACTATCTCAAATCCAATCCCTTTGTTTGATCCAGTCACCTGCCACAGTGATGAAAGAACAGAAAAGGATTTTATCATAATCATTAATGGTACCAAGTTTTTTTTATACTTTTAGCATAAATGTAATTTTGTATCTATTCATGCATCTGTGCATAACAGTGGAAGCATGGGGCGTATTATAGAATGACAATTCCATTATGTGATGTGGAAAGAATAGAAAAGTGTTTCATGGTAATTGTTTTATTCGATTTACTTTCTTAGTGACCACTGTGTAGTAGGAGATTTTCACATCTTTCTAAACAGCTACTTCTGACTTCAGAGTCTACTTTCAGTGTCTCCCTGTCCCTTTCCCCTGGCCCCCTTCGGATATCATTATCTACTCTCCAAGCAGAGGCTGGTGGAGAAGATTGTAACTAATCTCCAAGCAGAATAGGGTGGCAAAAGACAGTATCAGCCAGGCAGTAGCCTCTCTGGCGTAACCAGATGGTGTATGGACCCTCTCTGGCATATGGATTAACATTATAGGACTGCCTGGCCAATTTGATACTGTCTTTAATGCCACCCTAGGATCTGCCTGGTGATTAGATTGTAACCTTCGTATGTGCTTTGTGGGACGACCAATGATTACAGACGGTCAATAGTTACAGACGGCCGAAATTATTACATAGACTCCCCTTGCCCAAAAGAATCTGCTTGGAGATTTATAGCAAATCTTATTTCCTCGTCTCCACCAAGCCGAAAATGAGGAGTGATCATCCCCCAACTTACCACTGCTATGCGGCTCATCTTTGCGTCTGACTTCTCTGAGAGATAGCAAATAATTCTTGCGGTCTATTCTGGTACAAAAAGGAAACCTTGCTTGGTTTTGCGGCCTCTATGAACAACGCGGAAGAACCGTCCGTCCACTATCATCGAAATTGTGTAACAAAAGCAATTTTGGGTTTCAGAATGTACCACTATGGACCGGGGGGAAACACGCTGTTCCATTTACTTAATATTTCGGATGCATAATGAGAAATAGTTTTGCCAATAGTACGTAATCGATTTTCAACATACCAAAACACCTATACAGCATTCTTAAGGATGCCTCAATGCTGTTCAATTTATATAGTTACTCTAGAGTAATACCCCCTGTGTGGGAATGTAGTCGCCCAGATTTACGCGTGATTCATTAAGAAGGGCAACCATAATCTTCAAGCAGATGTTGGGAGGGAGGCTAAAACGTTTCGGGAGAATCAGGACAGTATATTAAACTTTAAGCAACATCTGTATCACTATGATTTAGACAACAGAAAAATGTAGGTCGGCTCTTTCCAGTTTCTGTGCCAACATTTCTTATTCAATTTCAGCATCAACATTTATAACATTAATTATCCACCGGGCCGGGGCCAGGGTAAATGCTCTGTTAAATCTACAAGTAAAACTATGCAATTCAAAAGCTAAAGAGGAACACAAATTGAATAGAATTTACTACAACAATATCAAAAACATCACTAGTTGTGTGTTTGCCTTTGTTGTTGTGTTTCTTATGTAGTAAGCCTTTATTTAAACTCGAAAGCTTGTTCGGTTACAAATGACCGCTTTTCAACAAGGTCGAGGGTGAGGGCGGGGTCACGGATTACAAATCAAACCAAAATATAATACAAAATCAAAACAAAGTGCAAATCAAAATATAATACAAAAATAAATAATAAATCATCAGTCCATTATCAGTCCAAGTTCCTTATCATACTTCTAAATGTTCCCAATGACTGGGCTGCTCGTACATGTGGTGGCAAGGAGTTCCACACAGTCGCCCCCGAGTACCTCAGTGACCGCCTGTACACTTCCAGTTGAGGCCTCGGTATGATGAGGTTGTCCAATGTGCTCTGTCTGGTGGATCTGGAGGCTGCGTCTCTATACCGGATGAACACCCCTTGCATATATGGTGGTAAAGAATTGTCCAAGGCCCTATACACTATCATGGCTTTATGTTGACGATGTAGACTTCTCACGGACTTCCATCCCAGACGAGAGAGGACTTCCCGTGATGGTGTTCTGTACGGGGCTTTCAAGATCAATTTTCCTACGCGGTTCTGCATTCTTTGCATCTTATCATATTGTACCGAAATGGCACCATCCCAGACAGTACAGGCATAAGTTAAGTGTGGTAAAAATATGGTGTTATACAAGGTGACAAGTGCAGATTGTGTGACAAAAGGTTGGACTTGACGCATTATTACAAGCGCGCGCTTTAGTTTAGACAGAACATGAATAACATGAAAATCCCATTTCAGTTCGCTGTCAACAATTACACCAAGGTATTTAAAAGCCGGGACTACTTCAAGGGGGTTTCCATTCATTAATACTTGTAACTGGTCTTTTCCCCTAAGCCGATGCCGTGTGCCAATAAGCATGGCTTTGCACTTCTTGGCGTTGACAGAAAGACAGTTAGCCACAAACCAGTGATGAAGACGGTCCATATCAGACTGAAGAGCCCTTTGTATGGTTTCCAAGTCAGGATGGCTGAAGTATACCACAGTGTCATCAGCATATAAAGCAATTTTGCAGTGTTGTATGCATTTTGGCATATCATTTACATACATTACAAACAAAAGCGGTCCCAAAATGGAGCCTTGCGGCACTCCACAATCAACATTACAGAAATTGGATGTTTGTCCATTAACAACTGTGCAGTGAGATCGCTCACAGAGGTACGATCGGAACCATTTAGCTGTAGAGCCGAAGATTCCAAAGGCACTGAGTTTTTGCAGAAGGATGTTATGGTCAATGGTGTCAAAAGCCTTTGACAGATCGACAAAGACTGCACCAGTGATTTTACCTTGATCTACTGCTTCATACCATTCCTCTGTGACTAAATGAAGAGCTGTTTGGGTTGAATGTTTTTTGCGAAACCCAGACTGTCGTGCAGAGAGAAGGTCATTCTCAGTCAGGAACTGATAGACTTGCTGATGAACTGCACGTTCAAGTATTTTAGATATTACTGGAAGAATGCTAACTGGTCTGTAATTACCAGTGTCTGTTCTATCTCCAGCTTTGAAGATAGGGACAACTCGCGCTTTCTTCCAGTCTGCAGGGAACTCAGAGGTGGACAAGGAAGCATTCAAAATGCTGGTCAAGGAAGGTGCTATAACAGGGGCAGCAATCTTGAGGAGTCTGCAGTTAAGCCCATCAAGACCAGTGGCTTTGTTTCCTTTCATGGAAGAAAGTTCGGACAAAACAAAAGCCTCTGATATGGGTTGGAAGGAGAAAGTCACTTGACTGTGTTGTGCAAACTGCAAGGGATGGAAAATGGTAATCTAGTGTTAATTGAAATAGAAAAGCAGAGTAACTTTTTTGTTATTTTGTGTAATATAATATATTTCACAATGGAAAAGTACAAAACAGTTTTTATTTTATTGAATTAGTGTTTAAAACAGGAGTCTCAGTTACAATTTAACAAGATATCACATGAATCATAGATGAATATAGATGAACAAAACACTGGGAACAACCTTACTAAGACATATGAAAATACAAAATACTTTTTTTTTTCATTTCTAATACAAATCACTATCCTCATGCATTCATACATTTATATACAGTCACAGACAGTTCTTGTAGAAAGAAAAATCTAAGGTGGGAAAAACATGATCTTTATTTTGATTCCGAATGTTGATTGGTTAACCTGCAAACTTAAAAATCATCCTTAAGGACAAGTGAGTATCTTAAGTCTTAGGAAGTGTTTATCTGAAGTCCATGAAGCGGATGTCTGTAAGGAGCAAGTACCGCTTGGGGAGCGGTCTGGGGGCAGGAGACAGCACAGTCATCACTTGTCTCTCCATGTCTACATTTGTACTGTGGGCGAACAAAAAACAACACTTCATTAGTCATAAGGTACAGCACATTAACCTCTGACCTCTCGGTATGTGTCTATGCATTCAGGAATAAAATCAACCAAAATTTAATAAGCAGTGCTTTTTTTTTCTTTCACCGGTACTGCAACAGTACTTTCCATCCAACATAGGCCATGTTCATTTCATAATTATTTCAAAAACTTATAGATGTCATCCATATAATCAAATCAACATGGTCTTATTGTGTGAGTAAATATTACTTGACTTACACACAAATGAATCCAGCGATGTTGGTGTCTATGAGGTTATCCTCCAGTGAGTCAGCCATACTGAGACTGAGTACATGGTGGACAATCTGAGCTCCAGGCTGGATGTGCACCAGTTTGGTGTAGGGGTTCTCCTGCTGTGTGTCCAGGGGCAGGCAGGAGTCGGGCAGGGCTGGGGCTACACAAATACACCAACGATATTACCTTTGGTCAGGAAAGTAATTTCACGTATAAAGTTGGTATGTTTGTAAACCGTTATCATCACCTACATTAATTGTTCTTTCTTAGATGTGCAATTTGTTCCAACACAAAGAATTGTTCCCAACCTAGAGCTTTCAACCAGTTACTCTGGTCTTTCAATAGACTGACCCAGTGAGATAACCACGACGGGCGCCGACTTTGTTTACCAGATACATGTACATGTACCTTTGACCCAGTGTTTCAGAGAAGCCATGTGACAAGTCTCACTGGGTCAGCCTTTTGAAGAAGACCAAAGTGACTGGTCGGAAGCTCTATGCAAGAACAATTTTTTGTGTTGAAACAAACATTTTAAATACATGTAGTTACTTACTCTTCACTTTATCTATCTGTTGTATGTAACTACCAACACATAAAAAGGTATACATAAACATATACATGTACCTTTTTATGTATACCTTTTTATGTGTTGGTAGTTACATACAACAGATAGATAAAGTGAAGAGTAAGTAACTACATGTATTTAAAATGTTTGTTCCAACACAAAAATTGTAGAACAATGGAGAAAATACAAAATAGTTATTGTCCCACCTCCAACCTGGTATAAGCTGACATCAGCAAACTTGACGTCAAACGAGTGTGGGTAGAGAGGCTGTCTCACGCCGTAGAAGTACTCCCGAACACGGTCCTCACGAGCACTTCTTCTGACTGGCTGAGGTCTCTCAACAACCTGGACAGATGGAAGGATCATAAACGTGTGACTAAAAAGCTGTAGGTTGGATTCATTGCAAGAATCTGGAGCGGCTGCCATTCGGCACTAACTCAGGTGACCTCAATACAACCCTGAACCACTCACAGGATCCCTACTCTTTTTGATAAATACCGGTATGGTGGGTTCTTTAATATGCATGGGGTGTGGCTTTCCCCAAACACGGGAGCTCCATTGTCCTATCACAAGGGATGTCCCTAACCGAAGGTACTCATTTCCATCTGAATAATGTGAGGAAAGTTGTGTTAAGTGCCTTTCCCAAGGACATGACATTTGTGACATGGCAGCAATCAAACCCGAAACCTCCTAGTTCTGAGCTGAACACTCATTATACTACACAACCCCCAAAATTTTTCTCTTGGGTGTTTTTAATTTTCACTTGATTAATCCAGTCTGCATGTGGTGCAGCAATGATGGTATAACTGTTCAGCCACATATATGACTCACCCCTCCAGACTTTGGCTGCAGTACAACTTTAACAAAGCCTGGTAGATCTCTCTTCAGGTCATTGTAGAGCCTCTCTTGATCCAGTACAATGATGACGTCCACTTCAAACTCCCGGGCAGCATGTAGGATGGACCTGTAGCCTTCTCCCTTCACCCAACCACAGGTGTTGATAATACAGCCGCTTACTGAAGCTGTGGAGTACAAAACCAAAAAATGTCACAATAAGTTCCTTTTGTATAATAGTCTATCAAAGGAAAACTAAGGAATTAAACTGGAGAGGCCTTTTACATATCTTTACTATTTGTAATTGCCTAGTTTTCAACCCATACATTTGTAAGAGAAAAAAATGGCATGTTCGAATTTATAAAAATCAATGCTCATTGCGTAAAAGCCTGGGTTTCGTGTCTACAATGAATTTTTAATGTCATGAAAGTTTACCTGTGTTGGTATATGTAGTTACATGTTTAAAGTTAAGACTTTTGATCCAACACAAGAGATTGTTCTCACCAAGAGCTTTTGACCAGTCATATTGTTTACCAGATACCTTTGACCCAGTGTTGACGTCACATTTTAGAGAAGCCATGAGACCAAACTCACTGGGTCAGTATATTGAAGAAGACCAGAGTGAGTCGAAAGCTCTTGGTGAGAACAATGTCTTGTGTTGGATCAAAAGTTTTAACTTTAAACAATAAACTTTTAAGGATATGCAATTTTACATTGTGAACAGGTAACTATTCAGAAGAAACTACCTTGTCTGTTGAGTTCACATCTCTGGTTAAACACATCTGCACACTTGGCGATGATTCGTTCGTACAGTTCCATGTTGGCACCGGGGGAGGCATGGCCGAAGTGGTAGATCAGAGGAGCCTGCAGGGAAAAACCCTCCTCTACATCAGCTGGTCTTTCCACAAGTATGCCACCTGGAAAAAGTATCACGGTTATTTTGATAAACAAAATGTATACATACTGTAAAAAGGAAAAAGAAAGTGATCTTGATCCAGTTTTATCTCTCTGAATACTAATCTCCCATTGGTTGTGACAGAAAAGACAGATGCTATGTAAGTATTTACAGTGAACCACAGCTTAGCGTCCCGGCCTAATTATAAGGACTGTGACTTTTTACAGTAGGGTGCATGTTAGGCGAGCAACAACAGCTGGGACTCGAACTCCCAACCTCCAGTGACAGGGCCGGAAGTACATGTAAGCCTTGGGACCGAAATAACACTTCCTACACTTTTTGGACATGTTGGTAGTTAATGTCATTTCATAGTGGATTATGAGGAATGTGACCTCAAACCCAAACCCTTTCACCACTTTTTTTACCACGCACTACCATAGACCCCAGTCACGGAAGAATAATATTATTGATATGTGCCCAGTTAAAGCTCCTTCAGAACTAATACTATTATCATATTTGATTGATAGTCTTTCCACAAATCCTTCCCACACCTATAGTCCCAGGAATAGCGATGGACCCTTGCCCGACGTCCAGGTCTATGAAGGTAGGTCTGCGTCCCAGTCTGACTGCGTAGTTGAGGAGTAGACGACAGAGGGTCGACTTCCCTACATCTGTTGGTCCCACAATCATCACCTTCAGTAAAAAATACAAACCAACATATTAACTTTACATCTGATTAAAAGTGACTTGTGACTATGAGATACACGAAGAGCTACAATCCATACATGTAGATTGATCAAGTCAGAACCGTGTGTAAGCTAAAATTTTGGAAATACTAGGGCAGATATAAACTAAAAGACATCCAAAAGTTGGGCATTATCTTGGTAGATTTTCTACCAAGTTTCTTGCAAGCCACTGCAATACATGCACAAGGAGCTAGAGGAATATCAAGTCTGCTATGGTGTGATGTAGCAACTTAAATGCTTGCTCTAACTGGGAAGGTTCTCTAAACATGTTTTATTATGTTTGCATAATTGACAGCCCTTGGAATATGTTTTTTTTTCTAGTTTTCATAATCAGTGGTGAATAAATTTTGTTTCTTCAACTGAATTGATATATCAATACTACTAAGAACTAATAAGTACATAAATATTAAAAGGACTATGGTTGTTGTCCAAGCTTAAGATGCTTACCCTTGGTCCCCGTTTTCCCTGGTCCTGAGCCTGTTGTCTCATCTGCTCCAGTGCAGCGTGGGTGTTGACATACATGATCATCGGAGTGTCTTTGGACACATACGCAAACTCTGTCTTACCATGAAGGTGAGAAAAGTCAAGGAAGGGAACTTAAGTGCTAGATTGATTTCACATACATTTTACTTTAGACAAAGGTAACGATGTACAGTCAGTTAGTCAGTCACTCAGTATCAGTAGTTTATTAGTATCAGAAGTTTTTCCTGTTGCAAGGTTCAATGTTGGTATCTACTGTAAAGAACTAATCCAAGCATAAATTTGCATGTGTATGTACATGTATTTGGTAAATTTTCACAGAACCCAAACAGAATTGCACAACATAGAAAAGCACTGTCATGACAGTTCATTGTTTTGGTAGTTATATGTTTAAACTTTAACATGTTTAAACTAAAGTTTAAACTTCCGTTCCAACACAAGAGATTTGCCCCAGTGTTGACGTCACACTTCAGAGAAGCCATGTGAAAAGTATGACTGGGTCAGTCTATTGAAGAAAGCCAGACTGACTGGTCAAAAACTCTAGGTGAGAACAATCCCTTGTTTTGGAACAAAAGTTTTGACCTTAAATGTAGAAAAGCACTCTTAGTTCAGCAATATTGCTGGTAAACAATATGACTGGTCAAAAGCTCTTGACTTCTTGTGTTGGATCAAAAGTCTTAACTTTAAACATGTAACGTTAACTACATCAATGCTCCGTTTACAGAAGGATATGACGACCTTGCAGCCATGCCAGGTGAAGACTGCGACCTTGGCACCAGAGCCGAAGGTGAACTTTTTGTTCTTGACCAGTTCTGTTCCAAACACTTCTGCCAGGCCTTCAGCTAGCTGTGGACATCAAACAAGGTACCATATAACATAAGGTAAAGTAACAGGAAGGGTTTAAACTGATACACTGATAATGACTTACAAATGTCATACTTGACATAGCGTAGAAGCTTTCAGAGTTTCAGACGGCATCCACCATCTTTCATGTAGTTACTTGAAACTTACTTCACTACCACACAGAAAACAGTACATATCTGAAGATGACAACATTCGTATCCACAACAAGTTATCCCTCTGAAGCTCAGACATACAAAGTTATATAATTATATTAGACCATTTGCCTGCAGAGGACAGTGAGTGTTCAGTTAATGCTTGGACACTTTGTTTTCCTTTATTTTCAGCAATTTTCTTATCATTATATGTAGTATTCTAGCATGATTCACCTCTAAAGTAATGGTTCCTCCCGTCTCCACCTCGAATCTCAGCTCTGTGTCCTTCTCTAGCTTGAACTCCTGGTCCTTGGGCTGGAAGTACAGAAGTTTGTTTCTCACTGATAGAAATATGATGATATAACGTTATAGTCTATAGATCTATGTGTACATGAATTGTAAGCACTTGGTTAAGGATCATTTTTAATAATATGTGAAGGTAATCTCTCTTTGCCATACAGAATAGGAATGGAGATACATGGCGAATATTTTAGTGATCGTATGACAAAGATTTGTTGTTGTTCACATCATGACACATGTGCCGGTCCGAACGGGTCTGATCATAATGCTAGTCTATCACTGCTATTGATCATCTAGAACACAAGAAACATTCCTTACATCTTCCTTCTTCTCTTCTTTATTTTCAGACATCACGATAACTCCCAGTTTCTCCCAGGCGGTGCGGAAATTGGCAAAATACGTAGAAAAAGTTGGAAAACTCTGAAAATTTCATCCAACCCGCGCCATTTGCACAGCTGCATGATGGGAAAATCAAATATGAAAATTTATAAAATAGACTGAAAAGACCTTACAATGATTCTTTCTATTATTTTACATATTAATCATTCTAGTTTCTATGACAACACTAAAGTTTATGAACGTAGTTCCTTTATGATGTTTAAAAAGAAAAGTTTACCTTCGACCTAACCTTTAACCCTTGAGGGAGTGCCGGGAAATTTCTGGAATTTTCATATGTCGTCAGAGTGCACTCCAAGGTGTCATAAAGATCGGTATTTTGGTTCTGTTTAACCCAGAAAAACGGGGGAGAAGGCCTGGCAGTGGTAACTACAGGTAAATAACACTTTTCTTATCATCCATGTATATTCAGTATGTTTCTAAACGCTCTCTTTCTGCTGTTATATGATATGAAAATAGAGGTGGCCTTTTGGCTTTGGGTAAGGTTCCGGTTTCGCCTCAGCTGACCCTTGGTCAGTTTATGGCTAAAGAAAGCTCCTGTCTCCTCATGGGGATATGGTGGTACAGCAAGCGGTCATAAATGAGACTGGGGCACTTGTACATAGCTAGTATCTTCATTGAAACTTTCGTAATAGCAGTGGCCCAGCATAGATAACAGTCAACACATCTCAAGGCTATAGTATAGACATACATGATAAACATCATGTACCAACGTAATTTGACAGGTATTCAAACAGTTTTAAAATGTAATTAGTAGCAGATGCTGTACCTTATTTGTAAGTCTGTACATTTTTGCTGACTTGCTTGTCAATTTCCCACTTCCTTTGGTTACTTGTATATGAAAATGCTCACTATAGATGTCACAATCATGAGATATTTGCAATAATGCTTTGATAATGACCATTCTAGATCTGTCTCTTGCTTTTAGACAGCAATGTACATGCAGTGTTCGAAATACCTGTCTGCAGTCTGCAATCTGCAGATAGATTTTCAAGATTGCAGAAGAAAAATTTATACAATCTGCAATTTTGCAGAAGGAAAAATAGACTCCAGATTCAATAGTTTTCAATTCTTTCAATTTAGCAAACTAGCACTCTCAGGTCCCATCAAGGACAGACAACACTTGAGCTCCTGTTTTGAAACAACAGGAGCTTCTTCACTAATTTGCATCATCCTTGTCTTGACTTGTCTATCTTTTGTTTCCTTTTTGACTTCCAAAAAAGTTGTCTTCACAAATTTGCATATCAATCAATAGTTTTTGCTTATAAACCTGCAGTTCTCCTTCAGTCTCTTAGTGTCAATGATGAGAAAGGTAGTCTGACCGTTTTAGGTAGCACCAAAATTATATACAGCTACTTGAGTAACTGTTTTTTGTGTCTTTTATTAGTATGTTTTAGTATATTTTTGCAGAAGGTATTTCCAAATTGCAGAACAAAATTTTGACCCTTCTGCAATATTGCAGAGCACTGAAAAAAAGTATTTCGACCACTGACATGGGATAAAAGTTGATGTCTGAGATTGAGAACAGGTAACAGACCATGACTGTGTAGAAAACACAACCCCAGACTCAGACATTGACCGTATGAAACAGGAACAAATACAGATGTTCCAGTACGGAACTGCACCAGCCAACCAGGTTTCACCTTACAAACTAGCACAGCAAGGTGGAATCAGAGTCAGACATACAATAGTCAATACATTATTGAATACAGCTGTAGCTTTTTTTTGTCGCTGCAGCTCATTAAGGGTTCTCCAATAGCCTAACCCATGCATGAATATGACAAACTGTAAGAAATAGAATCTATCTACGTCACAAGGACACTTGTACATTCAAGGAGGTTCAAAATCTCCTTAAACCTGGTACTTTCTAGGCACTTTCCGACACATCAGGTGATTATTTCACTTCTACTTGAAAGCATGCTTTCAGTTTCATACCATTTTCACACCTGTAAATTAATGCTGATATGATTTTTCATTCTTGTATGGTCCTTTGAAAATTGAAAGCACCGTTTACCGTAAATTATTATCCCTTGGGACAGAGACACACTGGCAAATGCAGCATCAAGATATACAATATCAATAAGCTACACATTGATTTGAGTGAACCATTAATGAAACCTGCCCCAACTCAAAGAACAATGCTGTGAAGATATTTTTGATAATAACTAATGATGTAATAATAGACTACTACTACTAGGTGGAAAGTAGGTGTTGCAGTATGTGTCTGTTGCAGTGTGTTTCTAAGGAGCAATCATTTATTTCTCCCCTTCACTTCAGTACACAGGTACATTTGTACAATTGACATAGTGTGATAATTATGTTGTACACCTGCATGACTGCTTATGTAAAGGTCACACTGTTTTATGCACTGTTTTCCATAAAGAAGTACAGGATAAATCTACATTATATGTACCATTGTATTATTATGATTAATGACTGCTGTTGAGTTGAGCAATACTTCTATGTTTTATTGAAGTGATAGCTCCCGCAGCTTGTCTCATGAATTTGTAATATGTAAGTTTATAGATCTGTTGGTTGAAGGCTTGCATGTAAATGACATGAAGGTTGAATGGGAATAAGTGCTACTAGATATATGTATATTTGAATATTTAACAAACATCAGATGAAATGCTTTTTTTGTTGACATGATTTGTCATAGCAAGAGAAAATTTGCACACATATAGTCTAGTAGTAGATAAATTGCAAGACCAGCTAGAGGTGTGAATTACATGTACCTTGTCTTTCAAGTCTGACAACATTTCTTTGTGACATACTGTCTGAAGTATGTAGTCCTCGACCTACTTTTACTTGATAACAAAGTATGGCCATGCACATTCTTTCAGGAGAAACCATGTATAAATGTGCTCCTTTATACAATAAAGTTCTGCACTGTTACCAGTTACCACTACCATTGTATCACACACCCACATGTAAACAAAGCCACAAGTGAGGATGCCTAGAATGGCTAGATGTTTTAATGTTGTCTATTGAGAAATGGGACTAATTTGTTTTCCTATGGAGAATATTTATACTTTGAGACTGACCCAGATTCTGTATATGTAGCCATAGGCATGTCTTTCAACCATTGTAAAAGCTAAGACATCTGTTGGATCCTTGGGTTTTATGTTAGATACGGCTTGGGTTTTATGTTAGATACAAAAGATTACACGCCACTTGTTTCAAAGTCTGTTTTAAGACTAGATGCAGTCGTTAGGAAAGATATGCTAAGACCATACTGTATAAGGACACCCAGGCCTAAGGCCTGTGAGTGTACAACATACCAAGTGTGGTCTACTAAGTATGGACTATTTATAAACATGTACATGCCATGGTCCAAAGTGGATTTGCCTATAGGAACAACACAGTAGTCCTTCTACAAAATCTGGGCCACAGATGTTGGTTTATACAAGCAGATTAAATACAGTAAATCTGACATTTAGCAATTAAGAGTAGACATCTGATATGTTTATGTCGTTATTATGTAGATGTGTCATAATCATAATTTCTGTAATCATCTACATGTATCAGGATAAAACTAGACAGTAAACTTTGTTCACAGACATCAGAGGTCTTTTGGCCCCCAAGGCTATACTTTCTGTATACTCCCACGAGATCCACCAAAGCCTAGACAATTTGCAGCCACTAAACCACAGTAAGACCTTGACATGTGCAGTCCTATAATTACGAGGTAGAACTCTTGATCACTCTCCCACGCCTTTCTTAATTTAGAAAGGGCACTGCAATTACATGTAGACAAGATGCCCTACAACTAATACATGTACAAGGGTTTGTGAAGTATCATCATATACATGTAGATGTAGATGTAGATAGGTGATTGTGTAGATGTACCTGCAATTAGCAAATCCACAGGGGAGATAGATAAAGTGAAGAGTAAGTAACTAGATCAGTGACCATATGATCACTGGAATTTTCAGGCTCGCAGTTAAAACCGTAAATCTTGAAATAATCGTAGTGGCAGCAAATTCATGACACTGCAAATATGCTATTATTACTGTACTTCAAAATTGTTTGAACCACAAAAACCTCCTATCGCTTAAAAACACACCATGAAATGAATTTGCTTTTAAGTAGTAGCTTTTAAAAAAGTATCATGAGCACATACGAAGCCATAGCTATTACAGTTTACATCTTCAAATGTCCTGGCACAAAAAAATTGCAAAAGCAATCCTAAATGAACTGCCCCCAATATGTAAAGTCGTGGGTGGTAACGTGATAGTGAACTGTCCCCTCTGCCATTTCGTCTGTGCGTCATATCTATAACTGTCGGACCCACACCATATGCTCCCAAGGTCAGTCAAGGATGTTTTGCGGAGGCTAGAGGTGAAGTTTAGATAAGCGGAGGACAGCTTGTTGGTTATAATGGTCGGACATTCTTCCTAGTTGTCCAGCGTTGTGGGGTAGATGGCTGGGATTATGTTTGAACGCGTAGCCGTTTCAGCCTCCAGCAAATAGTTGCTGCTAGCTTTTATATGTAAGAAACTTGATCTAATTCTTTCCTTGCAATTAGTAATACCGACTGTGTACACCAGAGTATATAGGGGTGGGGTTGGGATAAAAATATCCCCACATATTTTGTACAAGACAAAGATCTCTGGCAGATCCTTTTTAAGTGACCGCACATTACCGTTTTTAGAGTAAGGTTTTCTTATTTGTATTTGTTGACAGTTTGAGTTCCGATTTGGAATGCACAATGGTGGACATCATTATGACCCTTGTATTTGAACTTGATGTTGAATTTTGTATTTCAGACAGTAGATATTAGTTCTAAGGACACAAGATGGCTGCAGATGACTACTATGAGATTCTGGGCATCCCTAGAAGTGCTACACAAGCAGACATCAAAAAAGCGTAAGTAAAATTTAAAACTATGTTAAATTCCTTCAGTGACTGTGTGAAGGACAATAGCTAAAATATAGAAAGTTTATTACTCATATTAGTATATTAATGATTAAACAAATCTGTTGAGGTTATAATTATATGATATTGTATTGTAATATGAAATTGTTTTGTGTTTCTGTATTGTTTTCCTTTAGGTGCCATATTGATTGATAAAGTTTCTAAGAGATTCTTTGAAAACAGTTTTGATGATTTGTATGTATAAAATGCATCTTCTATCGCTAAGGGGGCATTTTTAGTTAATATATTCTCATGCATTTTACACATTACATGTTATTGATTATTCCTATCTTTTATCTGTCAGCACAGCAGATGCTTTAGGCAATTGTCTAGACATGTTTATTATCCCTAATAAATGTGTGCTTCCATCTCAGATACATGCTGCAATGTGTGTAAATAATTTATCACAGAACAGCTGTCTACATGATAATACATGTACTTATATCCTTAATGTGACATATATCTGCCATAGGTGTTAGGTCCCTTTGTTGGGTAACACACATACAGTAAGTGGAAAAACCATGTCTGTTATAGTCAAGAGAAACATACTGGTGAAAAAAATCAATTTTGTAATGTTGTTTTGTTTGTAAATAATGTGATAATACAAATCAATGTTTTGTTTGTGATTTTGGTTTTATGAAAATCTTTATGTTATGGTAGAGTATGGTGATATGTCAAAGACTTCATGAGATCTTTCTCAAGGTACAAATGATAATTTGACCAAATATGTCCATAAGTTATAACTCTTAAACCACCTCCCTTTGTGAATTACTTTCAATTCTACCTTGTCAAGAGCATAAGAGTAAGAGACAGTGTAAGAAGTTATCCAACCTTAATAGAATATCTGTCATCATAGAAAATGTAGGAAATTATATCAAGTTTGAGAATTTATTTTGAATGTTCCCTTCACAACAAGTGACATTTGTGCATCATTTGTCTTTCATGCACTACAGATACAGAAAACAAGCATTGAAATGGCATCCAGACAAAAACCCAGACAACAAGGAGAATGCTGAGAAAAAATTCAAGGAAATTGCAGAAGCGTATGAGGTCTTGTCTGACAGTGAGTATCGTTAAAAGCTTTACTAGCACGGCTCTCGGAGGCTTAGCACTCCATGGCACTAAATTTGTGTTGCTTGCGTGCTTTAAGTTACAATGTAGATATGGGTTTATGTGTTTTGCTTGGCTTGCTATGGGTAACATGTTGTTACATGCTGCTCTTCACTTACATTGTAGTAATTTGTACTTTATTGCACAGTATGGCATCTACTGATACATAACTACAATTTCAGAAAGCTAACTTACCTAATACATGAGTGTGTGGGTAGTATGGAATGGAAATGAGCTTTTACAATCATTGGAAGAATTTCTAACGTCTAGACATTCTTTAATGTATATATGTATCCCTATGTATGCCATGCAGGGGTTGTCACATTACATTATGTACATGTACATGTACTTACGTAAATTTGCTATTCAAGTCCATATTGTTACCATGTGATGATGTACAAGTTGATGTTTTATTGCAATGCAAGGGATCTTTTGTGCTTGCAATTTTCATGTGCAAATGGATGTACGTTTTCCAAGAATTTGGGTGAATATACTGACTGGTAAACTTTGCAGTTTATTTATGACAATGATGCCATTGTTCATTGACATAGATGATGTAGAATATGTATTTATGAATTTGTCTTTTTATTTTTCAGAACAAAAGCGGGACATATATGACAGATATGGGAAGGATGGCATAACTGGGAATGCTGGGGGAAGTAGCAGAGGCAGCAGGGGAGGAGGTGTGTAGCCATCCTCTTTTCAATGACATTACTCTGGAACCAAACATCAAGACCTGCATTCTAGCCAGCATCTGTCTTCCATCATTTGACAGAATTTTGCCCAATCCGTCATCTTTGATGGACAAAAATCGTGTGTAAAGACACATGTATGGAAAGAGATGTCATGGAAGCAGATCATTTACTGTAACTAGTATTACGTTTGAATGTGAAAAAAAGCTTTATACTGTGATATTAAGTTGTACGATTAATAGTGCGTTTCAGGACTACCTATTTTCTTCCCCTATGATTTACAAAAACAACATTATGTTCTCTTCAACAGCCAACTTCAACTTTGATGACTTTGGAGCTGCCCCAGGCGGGTCCTTCCATCACTTCACCTTCAGAGACCCCGAGGAAGTCTTCAGAGAATTCTTTGGAGGTGCCGACCCTTTCGCTGACTTCTTCAATGACGACTTCTTTGGAGGAGGTGGTGGTAAGTACCTCAAGATGTAGTACATCAAGATGTAGTCTTCAAGATGTAGTACATCTTAACTTAAGTATTCATGAAAATGACTTAAGACTTCCGTATCTGGTGGTCAATGAAAGTGTTATCTGTTTTTGGATGGTGGAAATTGTGAATGTAGCAGATAGCAAGGTCAAAGCTACCTCACTAGCTAGGTCAGCTACTACACTATGACAGCTATAATATCCACAGACACCCTACTTTTTAAAAGCCTTAATGAGAATTTGCCACCTCGGGTGATACCGTCAACTCACTTTGCCTGTGCGACTTATGGTACCAGGGGAATATTTCATCTTCACAAAAGTGTCCACATGCCCAGTATACAACTATGATAGCCAAGCCTGTGCTGGAGTGATAACAGGTTTGCTACAGGCACAAGCATGAAGAGTCTCACTCATAAAAGTAGCTTTCAATGTACTGGCAGTAGATGTATGATTCATATTCATGTAGTCTGTGCAATTTGGCTGCTGTATTCACTCGCCCATACACATCTATTTATCATCAAGTTTTTCATTTTAAGAAATTGCACATACAGGACTAGAGATACCAACATACAACCTTTATTTTGGAGAAAAATTTGATACAGCAAAAAGATATAAGCAAGTTACAATGGCAAGCTGAAAGAATACAGGTTCTGTATGATAGATCACATATTACAGAAAACAGAAGTATTTCTTGCCGTAACATATTAGTAACAGGACAATTTTGACAAATTTGTATTTAGAGTTCAGATTTCCCCACATGTATGCATGGTGGTTGGGCATTATGTAATCCCTGTGTTTGGACCATACCACTGAGAGAGAGAGGGGTGTGTGAAAGCGAATTGGTGTTCATTGTGAAAAGGGTGTTCCTGCATGCAGTGACAGTTCTGTCCACCTATCCTGACAAGACATGGGGCTTGATGTCATTTCTTTCATGTATGATACAAAACAGGTTCTCACAAAGCTGAGAAAAAGTTCCCAGGTTCCTTGAAAACTGTAAAATGTAATAATTATGAGTCACTCAAATATGTTTGTGACATTATGGTAATTCATGGCATTAGCATACACTGTACTGTATGATCAGTCAGTATATTTGAATATTCTGATTGAGCCCTATTGTCTTGTCATCTTTCCCCATTTTTCCAGAATTTCGCTTTGTGTTGCTCATAATAATCATAATCCATATTTTCTGTCACCTTGCATCTGAATTTAGCAACTGCTTCTTTCCTATATTGTGCCAATTTCTCCTTTATGCGTTTTCTTGTTATTATTGCTGTTTTTTATGTTGCTGTATGTTTCAGCTCCCACGCGAGGCTATGCCTATGCCTCACCATTCTCGCTCTTTGGAGGTACATGCTTCTGCACTAGAATTGCTTTCTTCAGACTGCTTGTTAGTGAAGTTACAGTAGCAAAACATTCAGTAACACATACTAAACAAAAAGTATAGTATGGGTCATTGGCATTTTACATGCCTGGATAAATGTGTGTCAGCATGAAATACACAATACATTTGTATTTATCAAGTCAAATCAAGTTTGGAGAGAAAACTACATGTATTAAGTCTATGCAACTAGCATTGAATGTGTAGTTGTCAGTCTTAAAGAAAATTACAAATTTTATACAGAATTCCTCCCTTTGGTGAGTACTAAGAGAGAATCATAATTGTTCACTGTATCAAGCATGTTATAGTTTTTTTGGACACAATCCATTCCAGAACAGTCACTGCAGTGTTGGGACACCCTCACTTGTATGTGTGATACTTGAAGTAGAAATCTTCAGATTCATTCATTCATGGCAACTTTAATACATCATGCATGGATAGGATAGAGTCAACTCATGGAGGAAACATTTCAAATTGCAAAAACTAATCTTTGTGATTATTGGAGGAACCAACACAATCAGACAGACGAACCTACATGTACCATGCATGTGAAGGTACATGTACCTCACTCCATAAGGGAAAGAAAACAGAAAATGTACCTACTAGTACTTGTGCATTAGTACACAGTCAGATTTGACGCTTTTGGTACAGTCAGATGACTGTAAGGAACAAGGACCAAGTTGGAAATGTTGTAGTATGTTTTATATACAAAACAGTAAGATCTTTTGAGAGGTACTGTGTCATAGCTCTACTGTGAACTCTACATGTTATACTCATTACTTATATTACAGTAGATATAGATACAAGCAGCTCTCCTTGTAATGACTCTTTTTGTAGCTTTGGATTTCTTCTTTCCATCTTTGCCATTGCATGTTTTCCTGATGTTTTTCCTCTATTCTGAAGTTCTCATTCTTATGTATCCTAATGTTTCTATGGGTTTCTCTTTGACCTGTCCCTTCCCCACCCCATGTCACTGACATGCCTGTATGTGTGTGTGTGTTCGCTGTGTTTAGCGCCCAGTTTCGGGGGCAGACACGGTGGCGGCGGGCGGCACATGGCTCGTCGCGCCGACCCCAGCCCCGACTCCGGTCCGGAGGAACGGTGGGACTGTCCGGCGTGCACCTTCAATAATCATGAACTCATGGACTCCTGTGAAATGTGTAGTGAGCCTCGCCCACGCAAACGGGGTTAGTAATAATATAGACAATAGGCTTGGCAGTTGCAATTGATGCTGTGCATTTTTCAAGAAACAAAATGTTCTATTCCAAATTAATGGCTGGACTGTAATTTTTTAAGTTGTGACATAATTTAAAGAACATTTTCACACATTTTAAAGTTTCATCATGTAGTACTGAATTACAAGTAATTCACAATTTTGTAAAATCTTGCAATAAATGTGGAACTCTTTCGAGCCTACCATTTGTAAATGGTAGATACTCTATATGCTCTAAAACAAATAAAGTTTCTAAGCTTCATGTTTGGTGGTGTTCTCTGATAGAGTAGCGGTACCATGATCAATAAATAAGGTACAGAATTTTGAGTTTGCAATACATGCAAGAGCAATGTCTCACTAAAGACCATCAAGTTATGCTTGAAAAAATATTCAAGAATTTTCTCATTTACTAGTTACTGTTCAACTCCAACTGCTTGAAAATAAGAAATATGTCAGCTGCAATTTGCAGAAAAAATGAGAGTGCAGGAAAAAACTTCCTAACAGGCTAGGAAAATTGGGATTTTAAATCACATATAGAAGGTAACAGAAAAAATGAAATCCACTGAAGGTTGGAAAATGTCAAACAATCAATGGATGGACCTATTTAGTCTATGATTTCTGAAAATACACTCCCGAAGACTGGTTATGGCAGACAACACAGACATGTTTCCGCTCTGTCTCTGTGTTTGCCGTATAAGAATGATTGATGACCTAAAGTTGCCATATAAGAATGGTTAATCACCAGTGGTAGGATATGCCATCAATCAATAAGAAGCAAAATGATCTAATACTCAAATATACAAATGGAAGCTCGTCTGTGTTGGTAGAATCAGTAGTTGTGAAAGTTTAAGCTTTGTTTAAACACAACAGAAACACCTTGAATTATCAGCCAAACACTCTGACCTTCATTAGATGTTTGAACCATGGCAGTGGAAGATTATGTCTTTCCACCTTTTTTATTCCTCAAGCTTAAAATTTTACTACATGTAGTATGATCTAACCCTGCCTAAAAATGTGCTAGGCTGATGCTAGCATGGACTCCTTAGAAAGCAGGTTTAGTCTAAAAGCTTGAATAATTTCTATGGTCTTGTCTGTATGATAATGTGATAATGCATTGTAGGTTGTGTTTCTAAAGTCGTTGGAACTCTTCCTTACGAGAGAACATGTCCGCCGCTGCAGGTCGTAGTTCCCGCACCTCGCGGTCCCGTCACGCTCACGGCGCCGGCAGCACCACGCTCTTCCAGGACAACTTCCCAGGATTCTCCTTCAACTTCGGCATCGGCGGTAGGAGCGACCCATTTGCAGACGGCGGGTAGGTACAAGTCTGGTCAGAGGGGCACTTGTGCTGAACATGATGGGGGGGTGACGAATCCGCTAATTTTGTGAGCTAAAACTAACGTGTATTTTAACCAAGTCAAATTTTCTGGCAATTTTCAATAAAAGAGGCTGTATATAAGTTTACATTGTGACTGCTGTTTGACAAAACTGCTGGAATGACATTTTTTTGCGAAAAAAGAAACAAAGACTTTAAGTGTGACAGTGACTGATTCTTTGCTAAACGTTCCCCCTGTCTTATAATACTGTCTCTATTTCTTACTGTTGAGTTTTGCTTGAGCCCTCCCCATCCAGTGTGTCATTACAAGTTTTCCCCTGCTAGAGTGTTTCTAACTCTGCTCGTGTGGAACTGGGGGGTGTGTTGGCATGTTGGCACAGCGGTGTGAGCAGAGGCATGGTCTATCAGAGGTCAGAGCCTTCCCACAAACAGCAAAGTAAGATAAAATTTGATAACCATGTTTCCAAAATATGAAACATGTAGAAATTCCGTTATTACTGAAAATTCAGTAGGTGACTTCCTATAAACATATTAGCTTTATTTACTGTAAATCAGTTTATGTTTGCAGAACGATATGTTTGTTGTGGCGGCAGGTGCAGCAAAAAGAAAGTTGGCACATTACATGTTCAACTTAATGATAAGTTTGTGGTACAAAAGTGACTGCAAAAACATATAAAAGAATATAAAAAGTACCGTGAAAAATATTGTGATTTACAGTATTTACATTTAAGTCTTCTTTATTTTGTTTTTGACAATATTCCAAACAGTATACAGTGTGAACAACCAGCTTGGCTGCTTGAAGACTTTCTTAAATGTCTGCCATCTTGAAAGGCCCTGAAGCTCTGATACCCCCCCCTCCCCAGTTCTCTTTTCTAACCCTCTTGTTGCACCTGTTTGCTTGTTATGAGCTTCACTTCTGTTTCCTTCAGATTTCCCACTCAGAGACATAACCCCAAGCCAAACTACCGCCCAGAGTCCCGCCCAAGCCTAAAGCTCAAAAGTACCGCTCCCTGTGCTATCACACCCCTCCGGTTAAGAGGAAGACGTTTGTTTCCAATATGGTTATACCGTCGGTAGAAAACTCGACCATCGAGCGACCGCAAACGTGGTCGACATTATACCACATACCGCCATGTTCATCGCTTAGGTCAGTGTAGGAGGGAGAAATCATCGGTTTTGTGTGATGGCAGATCAGAATGTCTCGAGCAAACTGTGTGTGGAGTTGAAAATGTAAACAGCATGAATTTAGACCAGCTGCATCTACACAAATATGGGACAAATTGGGAGAATAGGAGCAAAATGTTTGGTGGCATGAAATTTTGTAGTATCCACAACATACTTCTAGTTGTGGGGTCTAGAACTGTGGGGGCTGTTTGTAAAGGAACAGGTGCTGCTGCTGTTCCCTTGCTGTTCTTTGCTGTCCTTGTTGTCAGCTATGTTGCATTTAACAGTACGAGATCTACTGTCTGTTACTTATGTACCTGTTGTGAAGTTACTGATATCATGATTGACATTTTTTCAATTGTGCCAATAATTATACCTACCAGAAATATTACATTTAAAAAGCTCAAAGAGTTTTTAAAAAATTGTGATCTCTTTGTCATGTTGTGGAATGTTAAATTTTAGTCCGACTTACTTTACATGCCTACGATAGTTCCCAACAGTCCTAAGAACAATGCTGTATGATCTGTCAATGCAGTGGGAGCTAGGGTATTGATAATACATAGAATGATCCAAAAACCAGTACAGTACAATGCTTATTGAAGGAGGCTGCCCTGTATCTGATCATTTCTATGGGGGTCTTCTATTACAAATTTTGTCATCAGCAAACCATTCACCTTCACTGTTGCATGAACTGACTGACACAGTTTGACCTGTCATGGTGTGGTGCATGGGCTTGCGGGAAGTAAGGAAATGACCTCGGTGTTATTCACATCTGTGGTGCCTTTGTCTGTCGTCCATACGTCTGTGTTTCTCTCCTCTCAGTTTTGACTTCAACCACCACTTCATGCAGGCAGCACCTCAGCCATACGCAAGACCAGGGGGGTGAGTGAGCGCCCCCGATATGTGACGGCACCACTGTACATGTGTACCAAACTAGCTTACTACCACTGTACATGTACATAATTATTCACCATGCTCACAGACACCACGTCACACCAGTGCAATAGCCTAGTGGGTAGACTGCTTGCTCTGCATTTAGTATCAAGTCATGGGTTCAAACCTTAGCCTTGTATCCAGTCTATTGTGGTTTGGGCAGCCTCTTTTCGGGGCTCTAAAAGTTTTCCCCCATCCAGCTCTACAGGCCACCTAGTGGGAGTGTTATGCCAGGAGAATGCTAATAGAGCCATAGCCTAGCTGAGTCTGGCAGGGAAGAGCTCCTGCAGCACTGAAGAGAACTTACCCTAACCACAATAGACTGGATACCAGGCTATTCCAACCCCAGCCAGGTCATACCAAAGATTTGAAATGGCCTCTGCTTAGCACTAAGCACTTACATGGTAGTTGATTATATACGAACTGTGAAGCCTGCCATGGTTCCATCATTTGTCACATACAGCATGCTGCAGAATGGAAACATAAAAGACTGGGATCACAGAGCTGTAGTGCCTCGGAACTGGCTTTTCATTTGTATTTGCAGATATGCTTAAGAGATTTGTAATGTTGTAGACATATGCAGTGCCAAATTGAAGTCATTGCCTCCAAGAATTGGATGAAACATCAATGATCCACAAAGAAAATCATTGAATGCATGCATCAAATATAGAGAGCTAGAAATGAATAGTCTTCTACCAAAAAATTGAGGGACTTCTTCACAGCACTATTATTCACTGTAGACTGCTTTGTCTGTTGTAATAGTTGAGCATTTTGGTTGTCTAGCTCACTCCACATATCAGTGTATTGGAAGTATAGTTGTGCCTGCGACATGGTTTTTATAAGACACACTGCCTTGTTGAGAGTGAATTCCACAGAACATTAGGGTCTCTAACAAGTGTTTCCCTCTGGTTTGGGTCTCTAACCAGCATTGCCATGTGGTCTCCAGGTTCACATCTTTCTCTAGCTCATCGTTTGGCGGCAGCGGCAACCGGGGAGGGAACTTCAAGTCAACCTCAACGTCCACCAAGTACGTCAATGGCAGGAAGGTCACGACAAGAAGGTAGGGATTTATTTCATCATTTTTAAAAGAAAATATTTTGTGGAAAAAATTATGGCCGACTTTTTGTAGACAATAAAATTTGTTACACTGAGAAAGTACAAGGTGGAAAGGTATCTATCAGTCACAGCGCTTTTAATTTTTCTTCATGTCATTTACATGTAGGTTGCCTTTCCTGACACATTGTTAGGGCCAGTGAGCTAACACCATGTAGACTTTGCACCTGTAATGCTTATGTCAGCCACTAGATGGCACTGTGATACCATGTACCTTTTCCATCCCTCCCTGCAGGATAGTGGAGAATGGTGTAGAGACTGTGGAGGAGGAGGTGGATGGACAGCTCAGGTCCAGAAAAGTGGACGGAGAGGAGCAGCTGGAGAGGCTGACCTACAACTAGTGCCCACATTCCTGTTGTGGTCAGTCAAGGGCTCAGTTATTATCCCTTCTTCTAGCCTGGGTTACATCCTCTGTAGCTATCACTGGCTCTTCCTTTTGGTTGCTGCCTTGAAAGGGCTACCGGTAAGGATGGAACCCAGGCTATATCCTTGTTCAGGCTCCATCCAGGATTTATCATGACTTTCTGCTGGTTTGTTTGAAATTTATGAACAATCTCCTTTTTTTTCCTTTTTGTAACACATGTAGTTCTACTAGACTCTTATTCATGCAACGTAATTATTTGGCTAACAGCAATGTTCCAATTTGCAATAGTTCATCTATCAGGATTCAAAGGAGGAAAACACATGAAGATACCATGCATTAGATCTCATGTAGTCTAATGTGGCAATGACTAGACATTTCTTAACTTATTGTTGTTTCAGATGTGTGAGACCATCCGCGGCTGTGCCATGTTGTTTCCACCTGCCGCATGCTGTGTAAATGACTGTGTGAATGTCAACAACAACAACAACAAATACTACAGCAATACCTGCTAACACAGAACATAGAAACTACTTACATGTACCATGCAGTGTAGAGATAAAGTAGTTAGCTAGTATACCAAGCAAGCATTCATGTGGATTTGACTACATTGCCTTGGACCAATCCTTTATAATAGGGATGACCCTAGCAGTTCAGTAGCCTTAAATCAAAGATTTTGCTTATTTAAACCACTGTTTTCACATGGTGATTACATGTGTTGATCTTTCACCAAATGAAGTGTTCTACTAGAAAACAATTTCTAAGAAAGGAACATCTTCTGGAAGAAAGCCATTTCTGTACTGTGCTGTTTTCATCCCAGATGTACATATTTAGGTGACCGTGTTCGATAGTAAACCAGCATAGACAGTGCACAATATAACCTTGAAAACTTAAAAATATCAAGTATTACCATTGGTGTGGAAGGAAGGTCACAGAAGGAAAGGCCTGTCCCCACCTCACAAGCAATGGAACAGTCCAGATATTGAGAAAGTTGCTATTTGTTGTGGAACAATCCATTGTTTAAGAGGGATCTAACTTGTATTTGCTATGGGTTTTAATTCAAGTATAAGAAATCTCTGACTGGTGCATCATGTGGGGTGCTTTATGATATTTTGATGAAGGGTTTATAACCTTTTGGTTTCCTTATTTATGCACATTTTGCTAAGGTTGTAAGAATATGTATATTATATATAAACCAGTTTGTATTGTAATACTCTGCATTGCTGAATCGAAAATACCAGCTTAGTTCTGCTTGAGTTGATCCAAGCTTGTTGATTTTATTCTGTCTAAATCAGGGAATGGTTTGAAACTGGAGGTTTCAAATGTAGACTGCGCATATATGCAGCACGCACAGGTTATCAAAATGTGATAGAAAAGCATACATAGGTAAGGAATGCTTAAACTGATGCGTTTTGACAAAAAAAGATATGTTTTGAGCTTCTTTATGCTTCTGTGGTACATATGTATGATAGAAGTACATGTTTCTGTTCAGAGTCACAATTATTTCATACCATATAAATCAATGATGAAAACAGATCTCAAAATTGTAGCCAAGGTGCATTTAAAGCATATATCCATAATGTTAAATCATTTTCAAGAAATGCAAAATGCAATACCTCTAGATCCAGAAAATAAATTCTGTGGAGCAGCACTGGACACTGGACATTTCTCAAGTTAAGTTCAGTTACATGTTTTGTTACAAACTGTGTTCAGTGTTTTGTTACTGGTTTACAGTGTAAGAGTACATGTATTAATTTTTGGCTACATCTAGCTACAAATATTGTACCATTCAGAAAAGTGTGCCATACAACTTCATTTGGAAAAGGTTTCAGAGACATTTATCATAAATATTTATGGTTTATTCTGCTATGTTAACCATTAGATATCTTGATGTTTGAACGGAATTATATCTCTTTGCTCCTTTGTTTTTACACTGTTAATGGACATCATGTTGGTGTAAAGAAAAAGGATGTGGTTTATGATGATTTGTTTTTGCTCCACAAGTGAATTGTCCTATAATGGTACAGGGAAGTTAGACATGATTATATGATTTTGATAAGGTGTACAAGGTGAAATTAGGAGAAAAACAGGGGGAACAAAGAAATAAAAGAATGACAGCAATAATACCTGGTTTTCTCACGTTTGATCTCTTTAATTATACAATATTCTTAATAACAAACTGCTTGTGACAAGACAATTTTATCTAGATCTTAATATAAGTCACTGCTCTGATAATCATAAACTGTCTCAAACTCAAGTCTCAAATTAACAAGCACTTTCCATACAAGTTACACAGGACCTTACTAGATATTTTGTGACCAGTATGATATTGTGCTTTTTGAAAGATTGCACTGAAGTTATTGCACTGTTGTCGTGGTAATGTAATCCTACTTCACAGTTTTGGTCAGTAGATTAGCCAGTAATCCAACAGAAACATTTTATTGGCATTCACATTTAACCAAGATTACAACAACGTGACAAGTTTTAACCAGACATTTCAATTAAAGTTTTCATCTTCACATTTTGTCTTTACCCTGAATGACACTTAAAGCTACAGTTGCAACAAATAGAAATAATCTGATTTTATTCTTCACATTTTCCAGATTAAATTATTCTTTTGACATTTAGATATATTCTGATTTTCCTAAGCTTACAGACAAAGAAAAACTTCTTTTAACTACTCAAAAACCACATATTATGTCTTTCACGACATAGAAGAAGGAAGTCAAATCCCCACAGACATAATTTACCTCGTAGAATGTAGCCACTTTTGTAATTCTCTTGTACGTTGTTTCATTGTTCCCATGTCATTGTTACCTACAATGAACCCTAGGATATAAATTCGTCAAAATACATGTAAGAGTTCCATCAACTTAGGCTACAGTAGCAACAAATAAACAATAAACATTTCCCCAGGGTGCATTGAAAACCGCCCTATAGGGCGATATGTTCTCTGGTTAAATAAACAATATATGACCAATTACAACTGTGATCAAGCAAGGCTTAACTTCTGTGCCTCATACTCCACAATGTGGTCGTAGTTCCACTCGTCGTACCAGCGACAACTGCCGTGTTCGTACTCGTCACAGCTGACTCGAGGTTGACCTGTCTCGCGTGCCGGTAGCGTGGGTTCTGGCGATCTCTTACCCAGGGAGTAGAAACTCTTGTAGTAATACCTAAAACAGAAATTACATGTACATTTGTACGTTGCATTCATGTATCATTTCATACCTTTATCTTTATGTTAATACTAATTTGGAGATGTAGAGCTCACTGAATAATAAGTGATTATCTTACCATCTTTGGATGATGAACTTGTGACCTTTCTTGACCTTGGAGGCATCATGGAGGGAGGTGGGGTCACAGTTCCCGTCAGGTGTCATGTTGTTCCACACTATCGCCATTCCTTTGGTCGGTTTCACTGCAATGCCCAGCTCTGCCGGGGTACAAAAGAATGAAAATCACATTTACTATGATTTACCTTTCAAAGACTGAGAAAGAACTGCCCTGCTACCTTCAAACTATGATGGTCAGCCTTGTGGTCATTTGCACTACATATAATAAAGATGAATGAGAAATCTTCCAAGATATCCTTTCTACCCAATGTTAGTGCATTATAGCAGAAGTGATTTTGCCCGAGATGTCACAGCATCTGTGTACATGAGCTTCAAGCCCCTGACAGCTACCAACAATTAGTGACAACACATCACTGTTAGGGAACGATGCTCAGCCAAGGAGGGATATACATGTACATTTCGTCTACTTTCTTAATATAATCTCAAAGCATATCTTTACCATTTGCCACCACAAGGCTGGCGAAAAAAAGATACATGTACCAGTACAAAAATAGAGAACCCCATAAAGATGCCTAGAACACTCCATTAGTAAGCTGAAGCCTTTACCGTTGCTTGATGAGTTCTACTAGCTTTCCTGACCTGTGAACTTGGTCTCTCCTCCTTCAGGCACATCCTGTAGATAGACCAGTATGGTGGCAAACCTGTCTCTCTGGTCTCTGGACCCCACCACACAGTCAGTATGGCTCTTATAACCTGCAAGTGTACATGTCACACTTTCTTTCACAAAATCATAGTCTCTAACAGACTTTTCTTGAGGTAAAAACTAGCCTGAGATGAGTCTGGTATAGACTACAAGAAAGCATTGAAAGCAACACAGAGGTTGATAACCAATGAGATATACCGTGGCAATCACATCATCCATGTTACACTTAATGTCGCAAATAAAATCATATTCTTTACCGGACTCGTGGAGTTTCATGAACTTAGGCTGAATGAATGAATGGTAGAAAGGCCTCAGAAGTCTGGTATAGACTACAAGAAAAATACAACTAAAAACTAGTATACTACATGTACATAGAAGTAGGCACACCTATCCCCTGAGCATAGGACGTTATCTGGAATTTTCCTCCATTTTCCACTTTCAGTCCTGTTGCGGCAGCAACCCTTCGTTCAAACGTTGCGCTGAACTTGCTCTCCCCTGGGTAGAAGGACGTGCTGTAGCTCCAGTGGAAATGTTGTTTCAGCTGGCTGGAGAAACTGCCATTCAAACACTTTGTCCCTATGATATGATGTGAGGGAAAAACTGATATTATTCAAAAGCATTTATTGCAATTTCATTGCAACAAAACTGGATTTTCAGTGTCAACTTTTTTGTCATTCCTATCCCATGGTATACTGATATCTGTTAGCCAAAAATGTGATCATGTTGCTCACAGAAAAGAGTTGCCTCTTTTGTATTGTAGGCTGGTTCTAGCTATTTATGAGTGGTAACCAAAAAATAGAGAGATGCCTCACATAACTAAATATTAAATGACGATGAAAATGTCCTAAACGAATTGGCAGTAAATGTCAATATCAGACAAAAATTTGCCCTGAAAGCCCTGAAATTACATTGGGTACGTATACCTTTAAAGACATCACAGCCTTCGAGTCTGAAAGGTACATACTATTGAATATGAAGCTATAGTTTAAATTGCCTTTTTGCATTGAGTCAATAAACACTCAGGAAATATAAGACAAATGAAAGGAACTTTGCTTTTTCACCTTCAGTGAAGTCCCGGCTGCTGACCTTGACCTTTACCCCTGCATCCTTCAGGTGGTTCCTTAACGTTTTGATGCTGTCGAAGCAGATGATTGGATCGTGCTTGGCTGCCTCCTGTACGTGACGTGTGTGCGCGCCCATCAGTCCCTCACACTCACGCGCCGTCAGGAAGTTGTCAAACAGGTACACTCTGCAGGGGGTAACATCATTTCTTATAGGCAAATCAACTTAAGGCCATGTTGATTTGATTATATGGATGCCATACATATGTGCATGAATTTTCGTATTTAAAAAAATTTTGACCATACTTTAAATGGTACAAGGCACCCGCAAAATCAGCAAATGTTTGTCATAAATTGGAAAAAAGATGTTGGAAAATGATAGTAATGTCGCAGAATGCCCGAATATGAAGAGTCTATTATTCGCCATACCGTACTCTGTGTGTTTAGTCATTTGTTTAACCTTCGTGATGGGTTGGGTGAAAAAATTTCCAGTGCAAAAAAGAAACCCAGATAAAAAAAGCCTAAAACACGCCAAAAATAACCGCAAACCCAAACCTCTGGTTCGAGAGTATTCCAAATTCACATATGTTCGTATACAATAAATGATGCTGTGATTATTTCTGCCCAGTTATCACATGCTGTCATCTGTACGTCTGCTTGTCTCAGGAAGGGTAAGTACAGCTGCACTTCCTGCTTGGACAGAAGAGGGCGTGGCTAAACATGGCTCACTTCCGGGTGGCCAATGAAAACATGTACAAGAATATGTCAAAAGAATTTGAATATAAAACTCAACTCAGACTTTCTGAATTCATATTCTATTTCATATACTATTTTACTTGATAGGTGTTCTATTACATTTCTTTAATCTATCAGCTACGTGTTCCATATACAAGTACTAAGTAGTATGAAGAAAAACTGTTCTTTACTTTTGCACTTGAACTTCTCACCTACCTGACATTAGTGTCCACGTCTTTAGTCGGTTTGACCTCCCTGTATCTGAGCTGTCTGCCGTCCACACTGACGTTCCGAACCTTCAAGCGATCCAGTATGGTCGGCTCGAACTCTCTGATCTTTTCTGGGAGGCGGTCTTCAGAATCAGGCGATTTCTTCTCAAGTTTTGGACTTGGAGTGGCCTTTGTGGGTTTCTCAGTTGGCATTTCTTTTGGCTCAGATTTTGGCTCAGTGTCGTCTGGTGGCATTTCCCCCTCTTCCTTTTCTCCTTCCGTCGTCTTCTCAGATTTCTCCAGCTCTTCTATCTCCTCTTCCAACATGTCGGCTTCGGGAACGCCTGTTTTTCCGGCGCATTTCTGTGCGGCAATCTTCTGTTCCGCTGTCGGTGAATGGACACCTCCGTTGCCGCGGGAGAGCAGGGCGAATATTATTGCGCCTAAGAATATCAAGATGAGTACAATGGCGAAGGCAGCGATAACCTGCTTGGTGAAACTCGCGGCGGCGATCTCAAATTTCTCTATTTCTAGTGCTCTCTCCTCCGCCATTTTCTGTGCCATCTTCTGTTTGTTGCTCTCATCTCGCCCCTTTTCGGGCATTTCTGGTTTCCTCTTGGTCGCCTTAAGCTTCCCCATTTTCGGCTTCGTGGGATAGAAGATAGGAGGGCAAGCAAGGCCCGATTAGTCTGAAATACCGGCTGGTAGCTTCAGAGTCACCGGACGGGAATCCAACAGGTGGTACGGTGTACGGCCGGGCGAAGGTTACATGTACTTGTTTACATGGTATTTTCCTTAGATAAAGCAACGCCGCCGTAAGGACAGACTAGGCACTGCATCTGAAAATGTGGTACACATTTTCACTACTAAAGTTCATTAAATCCATCTTGAGTGGTATAGGCTATAACTACTAGAAAACGTGCATCGTTTCTCGCTCTCGCTCTCAGTTTCTTTTTCTTTTCTTAATGTTCTTCTTTTCTCTACCTCCTGCCCTCCTTTTGTTTTTCATTCATTTTGTCCATTCTTTCACCGCGCTTTTGATCCTCCAACGGCCAATCCACTTAATTTGCCGGCATCTCTCAGCTTGTTTCCTGGTCTTCCTTTAACTATCATGTTTCCCTTACAATACATCTCTCAGGTTTATATCATTTCCGTGCGTGTGCGCATGAAATTTTTAAAAGAGATCGCTGGGTTACGTAAATGTTTAAATACCACCCGTCTTCATTTCCGGAGCTGAGCTGCACAGAGCGTCCAATTTATTAGTGACACCCACGCTCTATTCAGTGTATAGTATGTCCTTTCCGACATGTGGGCGTCGTTTTGCATTATCAGCATATCAGTTGCATCAAGGACGTTCTACAAGAGGCCTTCTGTAGAACGTCCTTGGTTGCATCGTGTGTTTTTCTTTCTTTCTTTTTTTACAGTGGCGAATGGTTGAATCTCCGTAGTTCTCCCGCAGTTTTTTCACATAGAACGCTTCCACAAGGTGTTCATAGAATAAGAGCCCCCTGGTCACTCCCCTCTCAACACTTACATCAAAGCCTGACGTCTCCGTTTCCTTGGTTCCCATTGGTGCTTGATCTTCCCACTCTGATTGATGATATCACGGCGGTGGCTATTGGTCCTTTATGACCGGAAATGTTTCCCTTTGAAGGGCGCTGGTATAAAGATGTACTATCTAGATTTGTTTACGATAAGTTTTGACGTCTTCAGTCCACAGTAAAAGTATTAAAAAATGGCGTCCCCCACAAGTCTCACACAGAAAACATAACTTGCTCGGCGAGAGTGGGAATTTCGAATCCTGCTGATAACTCTACCTCGAGTTCCCTCGGTTTTGCCGTCGACAGGAGGGATGAGTGCCTAACTTGACATGAACCCTCATGTGCGAATTAAGTTCTATTCTGGAAGAACAATCTCTGTGACATATGTCACATACCTGATGTGGTGGCAGGTTGTGTAGCTTTCCCGGCACAGCCCTCCTCTCTTTGAGCTGAGCTATGCGGATAGACTCAAACTCTACCTACTGCTGTGCAGCAGTAAATAGTTTCTGTTTCAGTTTCTGAAATATGTTCCTTTCTGTCCCTGCCCCGTAGGACAAGGTTGTCAGTCTCCTACCCGGCCTTGGGCGGTCACGTTTTCCCGCCGCTCGGTCCTGTCCCTGGTGCTGAAACGGACTCACGTACGTAAACGGCCACTTTAACTTCCAGCATTTTCTTTTTTAATTTCTTCGGCGCAAGCTGCAATACCAAGACACCTCTTCAAGTTTTAAGTACTGGAACAGCATATTTTCTCCCTGAGTCAGAAACATAAAGGAAAGCTCAACTCACGTGGATGAAATCCAGGTAATAAAACAGTTACTCAAGCAACTGGATATGATTTTGGAAACGATCAGACGTTTGACTTAGCACCTACTACCTTTCGTCAGTGTCACTGGTGAGATCTCAAGAGAAACAGGTTTATAACCACGAACTATTAACTGATATGCAAATAAACTAGAGGTGAAAATTAACTGACTTAATGATAGAATCCGACTCCTTGGAGAGGTTTAAGCTTTGGCTTATATTTGGCGTGTTTCAGGCGTGTTTATCGTGCTCACTTCTTTGTACTGGTATATATTTTTACGCCAGCCAACGTTTGGATGGCAAAAACTCCATGGCAAATGGACACCGTCTGGTCAATTTCATACTGTCTTTGCTGCCAGAAAAAGTTTTGCTTGGAGATTAACACAAGGCACAACTGGGATCTCTACTGGAGACTATATCGCCCACACACCCATCACACCCGCCCATTCAAGTACCTTGTGTATTTCATAACGTTTATAAACATTATACTGACTCTCCTACTTAACAAAAATCCTGTGATCGATTCTACAGACAAAACGAATTTCTTGTGGTGTCTCACCTTGTGAGTCGTTCCACCTCCACATGACGTGGGTATGACGTGAGTGGATGGAACATAATCAACAGGAACACAGCTTGAGGAAAGAAAGATATTAACATCCAACTATTGATCATATTTCACTTCTAGATTGAGAGGAGAGGAAACATATTGAATGTGACGGCTACTTTAGCTTTATAATTTCCCTGATTTGTTCTCTATTCATTTTATGTAGGCGTTTTGGATTATAATTTTCCACTCAGTTTCCTACCACCATCTCCAAATGTTCGAACTTTCTGTCTGAAAAATATTTACCTTCGCAGTTCCTTTCATTAGCCTCCGATTCAAGTTCAAAAGACTCTTGTCTAGTTTTCCTCCTTGTTTATACTTCAATTACACATCAAAACGGATGTATTTGCATCTAGCACTCTTCAAAAAAGGATACGTGCCAGTTGTCTGTTGAGGTAAGTACAGACGACAAACACTTGAATACAGGAAATTATGACTGTGTCTTTTTACTTTGGTATTTGATCTTCCTTTGGTGTTATTGCTTCAGCACCTGGAGCAACCATGAATATGGAAAAATATCCGTTAGTGACGGTTATGACGCAGGTAGTTTGAAACATGAGCAAGTGTATTGTCTCTTTTTCACCCTCTTTTGTTATGTGACAATTTACCCTGTGGCTATGGGTTGAGTTCACACTTTCAGTACACGTGAGAGCACAGGTGCATGGAAATTCCGGCCGTCTACCGTTCTTCCTCTTGTTCTACGGTACATTTTCGAGGGAAACGTGCTTTGTATAATATAGTACTCTCCAACTTCCAAGCAGATGTTTAGAGTTTGGCTTATGTTTAGCATTTTTATCGGTCTTTCTTTTTTGCAATGGTATTTTTTTACGCCAACCCCATAATAAACGAAAACCCAAACCCTTGCTTGGATAGTACATGTAAAAATATAGGCAGAAAGCACTTCATTGCAGCGTACGTACGTATCTTAAGGTATCTTAAGGTATATTTCAGACGAACATCAAATATGACATTTTAATAATAATGTACACTTCCATTCGCACCCTTATGTGAATAGAGCTCTGATTGCCAAACCCGCAAGGAACAGTCATCAATAAGTAGCACAAGGGACTGTGATATTGTGTAAAGCAGTATCATTCCCTTCAGTATTAGGGTTCTGTGCAGTCCGCACAGGGCCAATCGTACGGCGTTCCTTTCACCAAACCTTTGATTACATTTTTGCGTGGGATCAGAAAGCCAGTCGTGACAGGTGCTTCTGTAACTAATGACCACCAGCCATACATGATCACGCTGGGTCGGTATTACAATTACAAGCCGGGTGTGACTCTAAATATTTCCGGCACCACATTTCATTCACGTAAGCACGTCTCAATTTCGGGCCTTTCGCCGGGCGCTCTTTTTCCTATCGTGATCAATCATTTTGAACGATCACCCCACCCCCTTTTTTCTTAAATGGAACAGGGACTTAAAAGCCAATAGAGGAGATATGAATAAGCCTGATGTTTGTCCCAAAGCAGAAGGATGAAAACGTCTGGTCGTTTTACTGGGTGAGAATCTGAGAAGAGTGGGCGGAAACGAACACGTTTTCCTGGGAAATGAAATACTACAGCCTCGGAGTAAGGCACGAAATATGATAGTCGTGAGCATAGTATTGCTATTTCCGTGCAAGATAAGGAACCTATAGCCGATTTCTGAATGTCTTTTTAAAGGGTACCCAATGCAATTTCAAAACTGGATGTTCTTTTAATGCAGTAAGTTGAATCAACCCTATCCCATAGCATACTGATATCTGTGAGGCAAAAATGCGATGTCACTGACTGAAACCGACGGTTGCTTGTTTTAAGTTGTATCGTAGGCTGGTTCTAGTTATTCATGGGTGGTACCCGAAAAAATAGAGACGCAAAATGTAGCTTGTTTTGGGACTATTTCAAACGCTTCAACGACGAAATGACGACGAAAATGTCATACGAAATGGTAGTAAGTGTCAATATCAGACAGATTTCCTCATCCAGAATATCTTTTTGCTTTGCCGCCCCGAAATTGCTTGGATGCCTTAAAATTAAGGCCAAAAGTGCTGAAACATATTAAAAATGTGGCTTCTGGAAATATTTTTATCCTAACTTAAGACGAGCTCCCTCTATCTGACTTACAATGTTTACGTCATCTTCAGAATTCGATGTATCGCTGAAAAATTCTGTTGCCAATCTGCATTCCTTCCTACACTTAAGTGCTTTGCCTTTTTGTCTGAATTACAAGCTGAGTATCAAGATCGCTCTACATTAAACCGAGGATTTTTCTCCGGTTCTCTTGGCGGCGTAGAGGGAAAGTCACAAACAGCCACATCGATCATATCAATCCTCCACGGGCTATCCCCGCCGAGCTGCAATGACAAGTCAATGTCAAAAACACAGCTTTGTTCTTCCTCTAACCCAGAAATTCAAATGCAGTCCGTTCCCTCAGGAGCGTGTATCGACTAGCACTGAAAGAACCTGTCAGGAAGATAACAATGATGTATAATATGCATTAGTACCAGGGATAATGATTAAATGTTGTACGGTGGGCTACCATACGATGGATCTGACGTAAGTTGGGGAAGTTTGTTAGGGAGAATGTCGTGCTATTCAAAGAGTAAGGATTAGTCATACTGTATGAGTAATTGCACAGGTGCATCTCGTAATGAATGAAACATATTTTCTAGCTGTATTGTTTTGTGGTGTTTTTTTAATGGGCTTGGAATTTGGAATAGGTAAGTAGAAATACGAAAGGAATATTAGATCATGGTAGTTAAAATGAACCTGTGTATTAATTTGAGGTGTACATGTATTTCCTATTTAAGGAAGAAATGGTTTGTACTTGTGTCATGGTATGTTTTCACAATTTTTCATGTGGGAATTTAAATATTGTAGATTTATTACAATTAATGGGTGCCGGCAAAGAAAGAAAATTCATTGTGCACCAAGTCTCTTCACATTTTAAAATGATACACTCCTCACTATGTACTACTACATGCATTGGTGTTGAGAGCTACAGACAATAAAATTGTTATGTTTACCACTTTACAAATACGAAATTGCTGGCGGGGGGATAGCACTGCACAAAATACATTCTTTACGCACACCTTAAAGGATGCGTAAAGGTTACGTACCTTTAGATATTCGCATGTTTTCAGATGTACGATTTCGTACGGTGTAAGCCGTATCCATTTCATTTAATGTCATCATGTCGATCACTCCGTTGGCGTAATAGGCTCATTTTCCTTATCTGAGAGAAATTAATTAATCAACACAGGCTTACACACCGATGATTATGTCAGGTTTGAATAGTAAAAGACACATTAACAGGATTATAATAGATTGCATGTGACGTCCACGGAGGTATATGTATTCTGGTAATAAAGGCATTCAATGTAATTTCAGAGCGGCAAAACAACAAATATATTCTGGATGAGCATGAAAGTTCATCTGAGTTGGTAAATTACATTATGAAAAACTTAAACTGTTCTCCAATTCAAAATTTGACTCACCAGAAATTTTCGACTGAATCACTCAGTCTTCCTCAGCTACCTGACCCAAATGCTGTGGACACGTGATTTTTCAACCGGGACGGGGGGCGATATCGACTTCAGACAACCTTTGACCCTCTGCTGACGTCACACGTGGGAAAAATCACGTGTCCACAGCATTTGGGTCAGATAGCTGAGGAAGACTGAGTGATTCAGTCGAAAATTTCTGGTGAGTCAAATTTTGAGTTGGAGAACAGTTTTAAGTTTTTCATAATATTCTGGATGAGGATAGCCTGGAATCCATCCGTTATCGCTGTATCTCTGCTCCGTTCCTCCGCTCTGCCTTCAGAGACACACAGACTTTACCAGTGTCACGGATGGATTCCAGGCTAGGATGAGGAAATCTGTATAACAATGGTATTTACTGCCATTTCTTAGAATTTTAATCATCGTTTCATACTGTGACGTTTTGAATAGCCGCATGTAACAAGTTACGTAAGGCTAGGAGTCCCTTTGTTTTTTGGGTACCGCCAATAACGAGCTATATATAACAGCCTGCAAATACACAACAAGCAACCGTTTTCCGTCAGTATCGCATATTTGCCTCACAGATATCAGTATACTATCGGATAGGATGATTCAATTTACTATTATTTAAAAAGAATGACCAGAAAATTGACTTTGAAATTGAAACCTAGTTTAGGTACGGCGTAATTGGTTCGCAGAGCATGGTTTCCAAGTAACGTTAACCGTCCATTTTTTTCTTTTAAAGAAAATGACTCGGGAGACACAAGAGGGTGATTAGAAGGAAACAAATTTCCCTCGACTGCTGATCTGTAAACAGCTCCTAAAATGGCACGCCAGGGAAATATAGTCATTATCAAGATAAATCAACATGCACACTTCCCGCGCACCGTGCATGTTGATGTGAACATGTGAAATAAGTACCAAGCAGATGTTAGGAAGGAAAACTGTAACATCTCCGGTTGGCATACCAATGGGATGTACACTAAAATGAACTGAGAGAACGATCGTCACTAATCACAATTCCTATCATAATAGCATTGTCTTACTATAGGGACTACCTTATCCTCATATACATAAAAGTGACACTTACGGATCCTTGTCATGTTCAACTTTTTTTACCCAGTTTCTCCACATTTTAGTTCATTTCAGTGACGCTGAAGTCCCGAAGTAATATCCGCAACTTATCCAGTAGTAGAGTTTGATTTGCCGTTGGATACTTTTGGGATTTACATTTCCAGGATGGCTTCTACGAATTATAGCACACTGAGAGAGCCTGATGTTAAAGTACAAGTACATGTACACCAAAGTAAAACACTTACTCAAGTAGTCAAGTACTGTAGTAGTAAAGTTCAAGTAGTGTGGTATTGTGTAGCGGCACGGCAGGCTGCAACTCACACCTCGACCGCAAGTCGAACATTGCCTTCGTCCACGAGGAGGGGTATGGTCTTGGAGGTGTGCACATTCAATGTTGTTCGCTTTTTCTGCTTTGATGAACCAAATGAAGCAAGACAAAGTCATTGTTCAAAAGAACTTAACTTGAGAATGTTTTCTCTAAAAGCTGTGGTACGTATACCGCGATTGGCAACTTTGCGGTGAGGAGCAAGTTGAAGTTGAGTGAATGGTTGATAATGAATCCAAATATTACTTTTTTTTACATTCTTAGAATTTTTTTAATGCCATGATAGTGAATATTCTCTCAACTGCATTGATACCCAATCTGAACATTGAAAATCATCTGAACATTTTAGTCTTTTAATTTAATCTAGAAGATTAGTCTTTATTTTGAATGGTAATATGATACTTGTTACATTGATGAACCATTGATTAGATTTGTAGGCCGGTAGCTAGATGATGATATAAAGTTTAGGATGTCATATTATATTTTACCGATTTTTTTCCCGATAAAATGTGATGAAAAACCTTTCAGTCCTTTGTTATAGAGTGACTATCTAGGTGGTGCATATAACGTGTCACAAATACCTAACCAACGACTAAATCGTTCACTAGTATTCCTTTCTTTCTTGTGGGAACTGAGCCAGCCAATAGCAGACACCGCCACCATCACGTGATCTGCCCATATAAAAAGGACGACCACTGTTGTGGCCTGCCCGAGTGCGAGAAGGAGAATCGAGGAGGGAAGAGTGTTGTAGAAAGGTGTCCTTTCAGCGCTAAACGTGCGCCAAATCGCACCAAACTTGGCCCACGGATAGTTAAGGGTCTAATCTACGTTGCTGTTAATTCGCAAAGATGTCGACTCAGCGGGTACGGAAAAATCCCTCCCCAAACTTGGCGCATGGGTCGGGGCCAAAGCTGCAGCCCATCAAGGCCACCAAGGTTTTCTCGCTCCGGCAGGGAAGCCCCGTCTCCAAAGCCTCGCCATCGTCCTCCCCCACGCCGCTATGGCCATCAGGGAAGAACAGAAGATCCCCCGACCACAGAGCGTCCCCCGAGCGTCGGAGCCCGACTTCACCGGGACTAAAAGGTAGGTTTTTCCCGTGCAGATCCGTGAATGGTGAGGCGAGTTGTGGGGCCTTGTCATACTACTCGAGACTGTTGTTGCCGGTTTGGCCCGCTGCCAAATACTATGTGCAAAAATGTTGGTGGGAACAGTGTTGTGTGGCGGTTTGTTGTGTGCACGGCTAAATACACCCTTTTCCATCCCTCTCCGTACTCAGAAAACCACAGATTATACCATATCTTCACATTCTGTGCAAAAATCTGAAAGAATGGGAAGTGGTTACGTGAGAGGAGCGAGTGACCGTTCTTTCGAACTGAAAAAACACGTTGGGCAGTGGGCCAGTTGTAAACAGGGGCAGTAGTACGATTTTGGCGTGTTTGTGTCCGCATTGTGGTGGTAAAAATTCACAGCATGCGGGAAATTTGGGGATCTTGGCTCCCCACGTCAAGCTGATGCGTGAATATGAATGATACAGACGCTGTCATGACGGAAATATTCCGTGCACTGACGGAAACATGAGACGTGCTTTCAACAGACGTCTCGTTTGTAGCCGATTTGTTGGAACGTCTCCAAAAATGCCAACTTTTATTCTCCCTTCAGGACAAAATAGTCATGATACACCAAAACGTGAAAGACGTCCAATCCGGGTATATCTTCTCGGCTAACCGGTAAATACACACTGTAATCGGTTAGCATATCAGGTAGAAATTGCAGTTTTTTGTGTGTAGAGGATGGTGTTACACGTTATTATATTCCTGAACTGGGCCATTTTTCAAGCACCTTTGTGTGGTTCTCCCGCCCTTCGTCAGTTTGCATGGCAGCTGTGGCGTGAATAGGGGCTTTACGTCCAGGATTTATTAGTCAACGCCTATTTGGCATAACGTTCCCGTCTCCACTTGTCATACTACATACAATTAGATAGACACCGATCGAGGACGTCTATCCGTGTAAAGAAGAGGGGGGAGGGGGGAAGGGGTTAGTGCAGGGTGAACTGCCACTCTGGTAATCTGATCCCTGCATCAGACAGACCTTGTCACCTTGACATTGACATACTCATCTCATTTTGTGTCTCTAAAAGTTGTAAGATTGCTGTCTTGTTCCTACGTAAGCATTGGAGGTATTGACGCCATGACCTTTTTCAAGGGCACTTTGATATTCAAAGTGCCTATAGTATAAAAGTATAAATGCGACTACAGCTTGAGTAAAAGGCTGTCAACATTTAAGTGTTGTAGTGCTGCATTTTAAGTCTTCATGGCTATTATTGGCAAAGGTTTAGGTAAAACGACACATATTCACATAACATTATATTTATAGTACATATACACTTTCTTGCTTCAGTTAGACCAAAGTTGAATACATGAGTTCTACTTTTGAAAACCTCCAAACTTTGATAACCTTACCAACAGAACAAAACCTTATTTACTTGTTGTTGAAAGAACAGTTGTTTGGTTGTTTGTGAATGGTTTGTTAACTCTGCTGGCATGGGCCTTAGGCAAGGTTGTGGGAGTGGGGTCAACATTTAGGGGTCAACACTCTGAATTAAGTGTAGTAGTGTCTTTGTGCAAGAACGATTTGATTGACATGTGAGTTAATGGCTGTTCAGAGTTGAATATCATTGTTCAAAGTTGTTCATGCTTGTGTTAGGGCGTGGTGGTGTTCCTTCCTTGAGTCTAACTCTAAGGAAACTCACAAGTGATTATGTCAAACAACGCAAGCTACAGAATTATCTAGCATCATTTTATTGCCTTGCTTTGGTTGCCTTTCTTTGGTTGAAGACATTGCATAAATATTTGGCTTACTGCGTTGTTTCCTGGCTATCCGTCATGCTCTTGGAGATGCACATGTTTTCAAGAATTATTTGGAGCAGCGTATGGCAATTTGTGTTATTACGACTTGAAAAGAATATTGGGAGCTCAAATCCATAGCACACATGGGAGAAATTTATCACATTGTAACCCCGCATCTGAATCTCTTTGATTTCGACTGGCATAACAGAAGGGAAGGGAATATCTATGGTAATTTTAGCTATCGTAATGAAGAATTCAACTGTAGCTTGGTGAAGGACATATTTTGGGAACAAGAAGCGTGATAAATGTTGTCACAGGACAAGGTACGACCTATGACCTATTCCTTCCCAGCATTACCTGGCTTACTTATGCAAATTAGTTACTTTGCATTTGCCTTTCTGTTTTTCTTGAATTACAGTTACCAAGAAGTACACCTATGTTCATGAATAACATAATTGCATTATGTGAAAAAGTATGATGGATGATTTGATTCAGAAAAATTGCTTGTCATATTCAATGACATATTATGTGTTTTTAAAGACTGACAAAGTAAATGTGCAGTATATCATTTTCTGCAGTAGTGTATGCAGTCCATCAAAATTAGCTTTCCGGCACCAGCTTGCAGAGCCATGTATTTCCCAATGTCATCTCATTGCGTTTTAACCACAAACTTTACAAACTTTGTGCATATGTTCCAAACTCACCACTAGTCGCAAAAGGTCAATTGTTTGACTCCTGGTTGTCAGGCTTGATGAATGTGCAGGTTGCAATTCTGGTGGCTAATTTCACTCTTGTGTGACTATGGACTGTACCCAGGCAAAAGCTATTAATAATAGAAACTCCGGGCCTTTACTGCGACTATCATTTGCTCAAAATTGCTTGAAAGCTTTTCGATCATTTCGACCCTCTGGGGTAACTACTCTGACAAAATCGTGCCTCACAAGGCGAAAATGCAGCCGCGTATAAATCACGCGGTGGATTATAGCGGCCCTGTCGTGCATGGTTAATGGCATCCCGATTCGGAATCACCCCCAGAAAATGAAGCACGTGCTGCGAGCTGCTGCTGAAATATGCAAGAGCTGCAAATGGGAGCTCTTTGTGTCAGGCATTCAATCAATTACAAGCCTGGTCCTACCAGGGTGTATTAATTTTGGGAGGCCTTTGATGCGGATTGTGGGAAAGGTGTTAGAACCAGAAGTGAACAATGAGTGACCACACATGTTGGATCACCTGCATTATCGTTATCACCCCCTAAAATGGGAAGTAAAACAATTCTAACTGCGTTCTCCATTTGATAATCTATGTGACAAGAATGTATCACAGTCTGTTTGTACTCTATCTAATATATCCCATTTGGACTCTCTCCTGTTGCCATTCTCTAAATCAGTAAATGGGTAGGTTCAAGATTTTCACATGTTATGTGGTGTCCATTTTTTGCTTAATAAAGTTTTTGAATAGTAGCCATGGATGGTGGCATTGATGTCAGAGAGACATCCACATGATGTGGATTACGTGTTACACCTGAAAGACTGTATGAAAATAGCTCTATTCTATACTCTCCTAGCATTCATATGACCCAAGGTAATGGATGGCCATATATAGTACATGTATTATGCTACATGGTCATTAGCTTTTTCCCAGACATAAGTATTTTTAGTTTAATACATATGTATCTGTCAGACTTGCGTCAGACTCAAATTTGCCACCATGGATATCATATTATATTGTGAAATAGTTTTTACCAAGTTACAAGTGGCCAAGCAACTGTGTGCTGCAAGTGTAGCCTCTAGATCTGTATTGTAGTATTTGTTGTTTCTTACTTGAGAATTTTGGGTTGTGTCTCACGTCCTCAACACCTTTTGGGTGTGTCTTTGTGTACGTCCCCACTTGTGACCGGAGCAGTATTTGTATTTGACATGGACCAGGGTGTAAAAATAAGGCGGTACAAGCGAGTGTTTGCTCTTTGGACAGGCACGCGCCACGCTAGCTCGCAGTGATGACGTCCGTAACTCGTGAGCTGGGCTATCGTTCACAAGAGTAATGAACATGAGGATGGTTGCTACAAAATATGGTCTTCAACAATGCTGTATTCTCCATTCTGCATCCTGTATACATTGTATACTGGATGAGTGGGCTTTCCTTACAGTTCCTGTGTAAAAACATGTTACCTGTGCTACGGTTCAGTTATAGCAGGATACGTGTAGGATTCTAGGAATACCCTGAAATATATATACTCTGATATACCCGTGAGAAGCAGAACTATGTCTGATACTGTGAGTGACATGAAAACGTTAGCAGGTGAGAGTCGATACCGGTTGTGTGAAAAGAAAACCCCTATATCCTATGTAGGGCTGGCCATGTAACTGTTGAGGGCTTTGTGGAGCCCCTTTCTATATTATTGTATTACTCAACCTCCATGAAAAAAATGGCCAAATGGGGTAATTATCGAGTCTAAATAAAGGCACAAACAAACAAACAAACAAACACATAGGGCCCTGATCGCTGTAAGGGAGCTGAAGTAGTAGAAGAAGTGTTGTTTAGCCAGGACTTCTTTCCCAGCCCACAGTGCAAGATTTCATAGCCCTTGTACTTTTAGCTCCTGGCTGCCAAGCCTGAAGCAGACGTTGTGGTAAGTAGACTTCAGTACACAGCTCTGATCTCTACCACATGTGAGGAGGAGGCTGCAGAGTGTGTCAGATAAAGCACTCAGACTTGACAAGTGTCTGTCAGAACAGTGAAAAATCTCTGACAGCTGTGCTATGTGCCAAAAGGGTCGACCAGTCATGTAGAAAGAAGGTGTAGAGATGTAGTACAAATACTGATTTGGGTGCCAGGTCTAGTCCTGGTAAAAAGAACAGGAACGATGTCACGATTTCTGCCCAGTTCATCTGTGCTAAAAATTGCTACCGCAATTTGCTATCCACACCATTTTAACAGGTTTGAGTGCAAAACCGAAATATTTTGTTATTGCATACTTGCACTGGTATAACTAACATTAAAAATTACCTGTGCCAGATGAATTTCACCTGCATCACTGATCACTAAGACTTTTTTTTTCAACCTTTATTTCACCTTAAAAATGTACAGGTGGCAACAGTCAATGCAGCAAATAAAACTCTACAATACACCTATAATATGCATACAATAATCCCAGTACATGGACCAGTGCAGGTTAAGTGCACTACTAGTGCCTGCACAGTCCCAAATTTACCTGCACTAAGGTGCATATGCACCCAG